AACCAACCGCAAGTCCCCACCGCACACTTTACACAACCAGCTTTCGGCGACGCTATAGACCGTTTTACTGAAAGAGGGCGAGAGAGAAAAGGGGAAAGGGCTACCGGCGCTTTCCCCCTTTCTGATTGTGTAGAAAGAGTGAAAGTCCCGGATGAGAGGCTTGGCCGGTGTTGGGTGTCTGCTGTGCCCCAACTTCGTTCGCGCTTTCTCTTTTGTTTTGAACTCGCAAACTTAATTAGAGTAACGGGCTTCAATGGCAACAGTTCCCCGGTCATCGGGACACCATTGCTCGGTCATAGGGTGCACGAATAACGACAGAAAGCGTCGAATACTGTCCGAGGACCTATGTAGCTTGCAATGAATCCGGCAAGGCGAGAGCGGCTGCAATGTCTTTAAGCTCCATCGCTTTCCACATGACCCCGGTCTTGGCGGCAGTGGGTTGCGTTCGTAAACCGAAAAGACATATCCTCAACACCATCTTCTCGACTGCGCCCGGAACAGCTTGTGAATCGAGCGCGCACCGAACGCTGTACCGCCGATGAACATGGGGTACGCTCGCAAGGTGCGTGCCAGTTTTCTCGTTATAATTGCTGTTTTAGCTTGTAAAATTTTGTAACTGAATTTATCTTAATATTGATAATTTGCAGTGGTGACTGACTCGATTTTATCATTTACAACACTTAGTTGAAGGCTTATTTCCGCCGCCGGGTGAGGCTAGAAATTGTTGAAAAGGTAGTTCTATCGGTTTTTCTGAATAGCGATCCCCTGTGCGATGCCAGAGAGCCGGCAAAAGCGCTCCTTGGCGTGCCGCTGGTGGGTTTTTTGGGTTGTTTCCGTTGATTGGGCGCTTTGAAGCGCTGGATAGTCGCTCCAGGGTACGACTCGCGTGTTGCGATCTGCGTCGTCGAGCCCAGTGTGTACGTTTCTTTGTTCGAGTCATGGCATCCGCCAGTGCGGCAACGGGGGGAACAGGGGCAGCGAACGTGTCAGTGATAGAAATTGGAGGTTAGTACTCAAAACGTTGCATCAAATAGTAAAATAATTCGTGGCTGCTTGGACGCTTTCTGCGGTTCGATATAAGCACATCTGAAACGTCTTCGTCGTTCATCCACAATGAAATATGAGGACACGGACATGCAAGATAAAATCAGCGCAGCAAAACGATATGTAGCAGCTCCGGGTGTTTACAAAAGTTAATTGAGGTTCCCGTTTCGTGTATCGCTTGTTGATTACTAAAAACGGCAGCGTTGAAATGGGTCTATTGCGAGCAAAAATTTCTGAACGGTTTATCATTTCCAGTCACGCGGAAAGCGGTGGAGCTTCAAAACATTGCAGCCGCACGTGCCTTGCCGAATTCCATGCAAGCTACGAAGTCCTTGGGCGGTATTCGACGCTTTCTGTCGTTATTCGTGCACCCTATGACCGAGCAATGATGTCCCGATGACCGGGGGACTGTTGCCATCGAAGCCCGTGGCTCTAATTAAGTTTGCGAGTCTAAAACAGAAAAGAAAGCGCGAAAGAAGTTGGGGCACAGCAGACACCCAACACCGGCCAAGCCTCTCATCCGGGACTTTTACTCTTTCTACACAATCAGAAAGGGGGAAAGCGCCGGTACCCTTTCCCCTTTTCTCTCTCGCTCTCAAAATGGCGCTACCCACGATAAAACGGTCTATAGGACAGAAGGTCGATGTCAATCAGTTCATAGCTGCAGTCACTAACACTTGCCTTCAGCTCTTCAAAGCGTACTGCCGTGTGCGACAGCTTCGAAGAAGACGCACACGTGGTAGCCGCTGCGTCAGGCATCAGAATGCGTTGCGGGGACTCGGCGGCATGAGAAATTGACCTATGTCGACTACCCTGGAAGCGACGCTTTTGAAATACCTTCTTCGTCTTCGTCATTTGATTAAAATTCCAAATCCAGTGTTAATGTAAACAATAAATTACCTTGCCCGTGCAAGCATGCCGAAGCAGAAGGAAAAGTTTGCGCATCGCGACCGATACCGGCAGTGTCAGAGGATTTATGGGGCTAACAAGGTAAAAGCTAGACAGGTTTTTGCTGTTGCTGGACGAGCAATAAACATTCCGCTAAACCTAGAGAAAACCTGCGATTTTTTTTACTGTTTTTCTTTTACAACATAGAAGAGATACAGATCAGGCATAGATGAAAGGGGGCGTGGTCGGTCACCACCTAGGTTTCGGAAAAGGTCATTTTTCCTGTAGCTAAATCGCGCACGCGCAAATTACACAGTCAGCATTGTTCGGGAAAGACTGGGAAATCCAAATCCCTAAAAAACGAAAAATCAATATTTTTCAAAATTTTGCCCTACCCTGTTCCCTTAAGGTAAGGGGTGCATTACGAGCTTTGCGTTCACCACCAAATGTTTTCAGTACCATACTTTCAGCTTTCCTTTTATGTTGCAGAAATGCAGGTGGATAGTGCTGAGAGCTGGAAATAAATTCAAAATGCTCGCCAAGGATGTTGCCCTGCTCTCCAAGATTGCTTGGGCATTTCCCATTTCTAGAAAGAAGTGGAATGGTGAAAGCATGATATGAGCCATTTACTTTATAAATCCTGTCCCATACTTCTCTGGGAGAAGTACTGCTATTGATAGAGGACGCATATTTTTTCCAGCTCTAGCGTTTTGCTTTGCGACGAATGTGCCTACCACGAGCTTTCATTTTTCGGAAAGATATCAGGTTATCCCGAGTTGGATAACGTCTTAGAACACCCCAAGCTTTGTTTTGCTGTTTGCGACTCTCGTTATAGTTTTCATTCCACCATGACTTCGGTCGTCTAGGAAGTTGTCCGGATGACCGAGGGATTGAAAGTGACGCTGCAGTGAGAATATGGGATGTTAAAAGATGATTGAGCTCACCAATCAAAAGCTGATCGAGGTGAGAATAGGCCAGGAGTGACAATTGCTTAAAAAGGCTCCAGGCTGCTTTTTGAGGCTTCCAGCATGGATGGCGCGTGGGTGAAGACTGAGGAGTGTCTTTACATTCTAAAATAATGGGGAAGTGGTCATTCCCGTAGTGATTCTGTTCAACAGTCCATGAAGAGAGAAATAAATAAATAAAAATCAGGTAGCAGATTTGCACTGCCAATAGAAAGATCAATGCAAGTAGATGACAAGGATGATGAACTAAAATATGTAGGATGACCAGTGTTAAAAATGCTTAGCGGATGTGAAAATAATATGGATTTGATTATCTTTCCGCGTGTGTCTGTATAATCACTACCCCAAGGGTACTTACTATGTGCGTTAAAATCACCAAGTAAAAGAAAGGGCTCTGGAAGTTGGCTTAAAAGGGAGTCGAGATCTTGTCGCTTCAGAGAAAGAGAAGGTGGAAAGTACACTGGACATAGAGTTATGGCTTTATGCAACAAGAGATGAACAGCGATAGCTTCGAGTGGAGTCTGAAGCGGAACCTCTGCACATGGAATATGTTTTGGAAGCACCACCGCAACACCGCCACAAGAAATGGACGTGCTAGGATGGTGTTTACAAAACACACTGTAGAGTCTCGGAAAGTTAGTGTAAGATGTATTCAAGTGTGTTTCCTGCAAGCATAAGGCCGATGCCTAAAGGCCTGTTCACACTCTTGCAACCGAGTATGACCGAGAGAGACAAGACCTGTTGAAACCTCTTAAAATTTGACGAAAAGGCAAACAGCGCACAGTAAACGGGGACTAAAGGAAGTGCAAACAGGGCAGCGCTTGTCCTGTTTGCACTTCCTTTAGTCCCCGTTTACTGTGCGCTGTTTGCCTTTTCGTCAGTATGAACCAACTAACCCACGGAGCTTCAGACATCGTTAGAGTTCGGCTATTATCGTCACCGATTGAAGACGAGCCATTACCCAAATGTTTGGCGATGCCGATTGTCATGAAGCCGATCACTCGACTCGGGCTCGTGACAATCTAGTATGTGACGGGGAAACTTGACTTGCGGTGTGAAGTCATGATGTCATGTGAAGTCACTGTGTCAACAACGCTAAGAAATCTAGATACATACTCAATTTAAATCAACTTGACTCAGTGAGTCACTGGGCCACGTGACGTGACATTACTTGACAGCATGTCTTGACACCATGACATCACATGAGCACATACAAAAGCGCCACAAAAAACCCACATTTTCGCATACATTGCTATTCTGTACACGAGGACTGGATCGCATTGAAATTCAGCTGCCATTTTTTATTCTCAAATATTTATTTTGTAATACTACAAAAAAATTAAAAAAAACTAACGTGAATTGTGTTGATCCGGCTATTTTTATAATTTTTTTACGGTTCAGTTCCAAGATGGCGGCAAAGATTTCGGTTCGGGGTTCGGTTCGGTGTTGGTTTGACTAAAGATAACGGTTTGGTTTGATTGACACTTTGATTCCCTCGTCTCAAGGTAGAACAAAACTAATACCTCGGTAAGACTGGCTGATATAGTACACTTCAACGGTGTGTACTTTGCCTTTAGTGTCATTTGTGTAGTGTGCCACACAACTTCAAGTTGAAGAACACACTCGGCTTCAAATGAGTTTGCGTATTGTTCTTTGTCCTTATATTGCCTTGTGAGGATCGATCAGAATCATCCTATTGGAGAAAATATTGTCAATTAACGTAACTTGTTCTTGTATAACGGGTCTTTATTAAAAATATTAAATATTGCTGGAACATGTACGCTTTTACTTTAACATTTAAAGTGTCTTACAGTACCCTACCCATCGTTATTGTCATCATTTACAAGCGACATTAATTTATCCCGATTGGCACGGAAACACCTGAAGTGACATTCGGCGAGCTGAAGTGCACTAAATGAGCCCGTGTGACAGGGGTATAAACCCAAGTGTTTGCTGGACGAGATGCCCGCCTTGACCAGTTAACTTACGACAAGTTTTCGGCATTGAGAAAGGGCCGTCCCCTCTTCTCGACAAGCGCCGGGTATCGCGAGAGGCCTTCGAGAGCGCTTGCCAACGCCAAGCAAGCCATTCCGGCGAACCTACTTGTCTACCAGAGTCCTGATGATGGACAGCGTCTCAAGGATGAGGTGCTCGACGTAGCTGGGCGCCGCCAATGAGCCCCTGGTGCCGTGCCAGCCGAAGGTCGAGCTCGAGCGACGTCGCTCGGAGCCGTCGCTCCCGACCTCCGCGACCAGCGAGCTCTGCCTGCGGCGGTAGCCGCCGTTGCTGGCGTCGTCGGACGCGCCCGACTTGCGCTCCTTGCAGACGCAGCAGAAGAGATTTCCCATCGCCCGAGTGGCCTCGCTAGAGGCCTCGAGCGTCCTGTGGCAGGTCAGAGGTCCGCGGCATGTCACGAGGCGGGCGTCCGGGCGTGGTGGCTCTCCAGCACCGACGTGGACCATCTGTCGCGGCGACGGCTCGGCTCCTTCACATGTCGGACTGGCCAAAACACTGCAGCGGGCCGGGGACCGCGCATACCAGCCAAGCCAGAAGAAGCTCTTGTGGAGCCGGGGTGCACGTCGCTCCCTCGGTCGAGCGTCGCTCGCTTGAGGGACCCGCTAACCTGGACGGCGGCTCCGTTTTCCTCGAGCGGGATGACGCGAGCGTTGACACACGCTCGCTCCCAAGGGGGCTTCGACTAGACGCGATCCATGCGAGAGTAGGGGCGCCACATCGTGGGTTGAAACTACTCGGCTCTTCGAGGAGGCTCACGTTGTGTCAAAGGTCCGCGTATACCTGAGAAGCTCATGTAAACACCCAGCGGCCAATGCCTCCCTCGTCCGCTGTCGCCATCACCGCCATCACTGTACCAATAAGCCTGTGGTAATCGGGAAACATGGTGTTGAGAATATCGAGAATATCATGTATAACAGCAGGCAGCGCCCCTCACCACATATCGCGAACTAAACCACATTTTATGCATTTCCAGGGGATCACATTCAGAAAACAAAGCGTTTTTCACGTAGGGGACTGTTTATTGGAACTCTGCATGGTATATTTTAATAAAAAATAACAGGAATATTGAGGGCACTTGTAAAACGCGATGTCCGACCGAACCATAAAGTTATTATCATAGAGTTATTATAATGCCCTACCCCTTTAAAGGGGTACCCCGGCGTTTTCTTCGTAGTGCCCGGTTTGCGGAGTGAATACAGATTTCACGTTTAAATATTCTAAACTTAAATGGTAAAACACAATGGCTAGGTGGCGTAAGCTACCGCCCGATCCAAAGGGCTCAGCCGGCTTTATTTATTCATTCACGCGTTTTCGACTGCTACTGCTCCGCGGCTGCTTGCGAGTCCCGACTCCTCTCGAGGTTTAGCATGGTTTTTGGTTAATTTTTGCACTTTCGCCAGTAAAAATTACTATTTGAGCATGCAAAGCGCTACGAACGTTCGAACAACCCAAATTCCTCGGCGCCACATTCCGGTGGCTAAAATCAGGATGTGCCGATATGGTGCCTGGATCGCGTCTTTGACTGGTGTGTTTATCGTCCTATCCCGCCCATACATCAAAAGTGGTCCCCAAGTGGCAACAAATGACGTCACAGAAGCCGGAGTGTCATGTTATTGACTGTCGCGATCCTGGCGGTTGGCCGTAGAAATGCAGGCGAAAAGCACGAGCAAACGCGAGTGTCGCTGTCGTCACGGCGTCCCAGGCGTCCCAACTTTCGGCTGCGTAGCTTCCGTGGACTGTCACAGTGGGGAGCGACCTGCAGCAGAACAGGCGTCTGCTCTAGACACCACAGCTGTTGAGACACCACCAGGGTCGTGACCAGCGACAGCATGACACTTTTATGACGTCATCAGGCGGAAATTGAGGGACCACTTTTTTTGGGGGCGCGGTAAACATACCAGTCGGAAACGCGTTCCAGGCACCATATACCAACTGCAGCAGAAACAATTTGAAAGTCGTCTGCTACTGTCAGAAAAAGCGCCAAAAAGCGCGTAGGCCAGTTGCGACGCCAGAAGCACGCTGTCAATGATGATGATAGCAAGTTTGAATAGATGGATAGATAAACGCGGCTGAGCCCTTTGGATCGGGTGGTAGCTTATGCCACCTAGCCATTTTGTATTAATGCGGAGCGCACGCCCTCTAACAGGCGCCACGCAATGAAACCCCCCCCCCCCCCCCCCCCCCAACCTTGCCCCCCCTCCGGAGCGGAGTTCCAGAACTGAGTTGGTACCAGGGTGTAAGATAGACAGGTGGGGAAACGAGAGCCAAATGAGCGACCGCATTGTGTCCCCCTCGGGTTTCTCTTTTTCTGTGGCGCCAACTATGTGGAGCACCGCGAACTCTCACTCCGGGTGGGCGACCGATGGCGACCGGCTAAATTGACGGAGATGGTTTTTCGTGGATTTTCAATAGAAGACTGTCGTGCTCTCGGTTTATTTTGCGCACTATCCCATAAAGTTCCACGCTAATTCGATTCCGATTTTTTTTTTCTCGCCGCAGCGTCATCTGTCGCAAATCAGGAGTACCCGCAAGCAGACGAGTACACAATCCGGTGACGGCGCTGCGGTAGGCTTCTATGGGCCGTTTCCCCACCTGTCTATCTTACACCCTGGTTGGTACTAATAACGTTGGAACCACGGTCGTGGACCGAACACACACCTTAGTGCTACACATTTTGACAGGTCACAAGTGTAGCGAGGACATCTGGCAATAGATGGCACCACATGTGTCGTGCTGCGGGCTTACCGGAAGCGAAGCTTCTTCCGGTTGCTGATTTACGATTAAAGGCACTTTTTGACGAGCTGTCACACGGGGTGGTTGTGTTCTTCTGCCTGGCGACCATGTGGTCGCACTCGGACGCCTACGGTCACAACATGGTGTCAGAAGTGGCCGGCCTCCCGGTCTGAAGTCCTCGCTGCTGCTATGCTCACAGCTAGCCCTGCCTCTCGTCGTCTCCGCGTCGCACACTGCTACGCTTTCCGTCTTCTCGTCACCGCCGCTGCGTTCCTCGTCATGTCGCAGCAGAAAACAACGGAAGCTGCCGCCGCCACCGCCCCCGTCGTCTCACTCCCGAGCTTGGTTCCACCGCCCAAATTCGACTTCGCAAACCCCGACAAGTGGCCGCAATGGTTTCTACAATTCGAAGACTTCAGCTTTGCGTCAGGCCTCTACCAAGCGTCGGACGAAGTTCAGGTGCGGACGTTACTGTACACTATGGGATCCGAAGAGGCGCGGCGTGTTCTTGAGACGTTAGGCCTCACCGCAGAGGAATGGCGGTCCTTCGCTGCGGTAACAGACAAGTTCAAGGCGCACTTTGTACATCCACCGAACGAAGTGTACGAGAGCGTGCTTTTTCACCGGCGGGTCCAGGAACGAGGGGAAACCGTCGACAGTTTTTACACGGCCCTTCGAGCACTCGTCCGCAAGTGCAACTATCCGTCCACAGAGGTCGAGGACAGGCTCGTTAGAGACCGCTTCGTCGTAGGACTTCTCGACTCGAGACTCTCTGACAAGCTCTGCCGCTGTCCGACCCTCACCATGGCCGAGGCCCGGCTACAAGCACGCATCCACGAAGACGCCGTCAAGGCGCGGGCGACCGTTTTTCGGGACGAGACAGCTGCCGTCGCACCGGAGCAGCTCAAGCTGGATGAAGCACGTGTGAAGAAAGGAAGGAAACCGGCCCCCAAGACGTCTCCCAAGCGAGACTCGGCGTCGTCGCCGAGAGAAGGCAGCAAGAACTGCAGATTCTGCGGCCGTCAAGCGCACCCCCGTAACGAGTGCCCGGCTAGACAAGCCAAGTGTCACTACTGTCGACGCCTGGGTCACTTCGAAGATGTCTGCGAGAAGCGGAAACGAAGTTTGAGCACTGTTCATCTACATGCCGTTTCGACCGCGGGCCGAGCGAAGTTTGTCAAGGTCGCCGTCAACGGGTACGACGTCGACTTCAAAGTGGACTCCGGAGCCGAAGTCACAGTGGTGCCAAGCACTTTTCCCGGAGCACCTCGCAGTCTCCAAGAGCCTGAAGGGCAACTCACTGGACCGGGCAATCATCCATTGACAGTTCTCGGTACCTTCCAAGCCACATTGACTTGGAAAGGCAAGTCGGTAGTGGAGCGGGTTTATGTCCTGCCGTCGCAAGACCCACCTCTTTTGGGGTTTCCTGCCATCCAGAAGCTGGGTGTGGTGAAGTTCGTTGACGCCCTCTCCAGTCTCAACCAGCAGAGCCCTCTTCACAGCGACATCTTCGAAGGGTTGGGTGAGCTGAAGGACGAGTATGTGATTCGACTCCAGCCAGGAGCACAGCCGTTCTCCCTCAGCGTTCCTCGCCGCATTCCGATTCCCCTTCATAACATTGTCCGCGAAGAACTGGATAAGCTAGAAGCTGACGGCGTGATCCGTAAAGTCGACGATCCGACGGACTGGTGTTCTGGTATCGTTGTCGTCCCCAAGTCTTCTGGAGGTTACCGGATCTGTGTCGATCTCACACGCCTTAACCAGGTGGTCCAGCGGGAGCGTCACGTCCTCCCATCGGTGGAGCACATCCTGGGACGTCTGGGTCCTGCACGGATCTTTTCCAAGCTCGACGCTACAGCCAGTTTTCACCAGATCAAGCTATCTGCCGAAAGCCAGCTCCTCACGACCTTCATTACCCCGTTCGGCAGATACTGCTTCTGTCGCCTTCCTTTTGGAATTTGCTCCGCTCCGGAGTATTTCCAACGTCAAATGGGGAGGATCCTGGAGGGTCTCGACGGAGTCGTCCACATGATCGACGACATTTTGGTTTTCGGACGCACCCAAGAGGAACATGACCGGCGTCTTGCAACAGTATTGGGTCGCCTCAGCAGTGCCGGAGTGAAACTGAACAGAGCCAAGTGCGTCTTTTCAGCGTCCACTGTTTGGTTCTTGGGAGTCACAGTCAGTGCAGACGGTATCAGCCCCGATCCAGACAAGGTCCAGGCTCTGGTCAACTTGGAGGCCCCAGCGGACGTCAGTGGTGTCAGGAGACTTCTCGGCATGGCTAATCACGTAGGCCGTTTTCTTCCTCACCTGTCCGACGTGACTACGCCGATTCGTGCTCTTCTCCAAAAGAACAGTGCATGGTGTTGGGGGCCCAGTCAGCAGTCTGCCTTTGATCGTCTTAAGGGCATGTTGAGCTCCAAGGTCTGCATGGCCAAGTACGACCCTTCGTACCATACCACAGTGTCGGCTGATGCAAGTTCGTATGGACTGGGAGCCGTTCTGCTACAGGACCAACCATCGGGAGAGCGTCGTGCCGTTGCCTACGCTTCGCGATCTCTTACACCGACAGAAACCCGGTATAGCCAGACGGAGAAAGAGGCTCTGGCCGTCACATGGGCCGTTGAAAGGTTCGACCAGTTCGTCCGTGGCATCAGGTTTGATGTCGAAACAGATCATCGACCCCTCGTCACTCTGTTGGGATCTGTGGAACTGGACACTATGCCTCCTCGCATTCAGCGCCTGAGGATGCGGCTTATGGCCTACCAGTACAATGTTCTCTATGTACCGGGGAAGCTCCTGGCGACAGCAGACACCCTTTCCCGAGCTCCTGTACAGGCTGCCGACACCAAAGTAGACACCGTCGAGCTCTTCGTTGGGTCACTGCTCAAGGACATCGAAAGTCTTGCATCCACTCGCCTCGATCGCCTTCGCCAGCACCAAGCAGAGGATGGAGTCTGTGCCGGCCTACTCCGATTCTGCAAGGATGGGTGGCCCAAGAAGGTGTCCAACGTTCCAGTTCATCTTAGGGCTTTCTGGAAGAAGCGAGGCAACATCACAGCCTTCGAGGGCCTGTTGCTGAAGGACTGTCGCATCTTGGTTCCTCAGACTCTTCAGAAGGAGATGCTAACATTACTCCACGAGGGCCACCAAGGCGTGGGAAGATGCAAGGCAAGGGCTCGCGACTCAGTGTGGTGGCCAACCTTGAACAGCGAGCTGGAGCAACTGGTGGGGACGTGTGAGCGTTGTGCCCAAACAAGAATTCAGCGCTGCGAGCCGCTTCTCGGGACTCCTACACCCGATCGCCCCTGGCAACGTATCGGGGTTGACCTCTTTGAGCTGCAAGGACGCAACTACGTGGTCATGGTTGACTACTATTCCCGTTTCCCCGAGGTGGTCAGTCTTGCGACCACAACATCAAGCTCCGTGATCGCGGCTATGAAGAGTTCCTTTGCCCGCTTTGGGATTCCGGAGACTGTGGTCTCTGATAACGGTCCGCAGTTTTCGTCAACGGAATTTGCCTCTTTCGCAGCCTTGTATGGGTTCGCCCACCGTACGAGCAGTCCGAGGTACCCGCAAGCGAATGGCGAGGCAGAGCGCATGGTTCGAACACTGAAGGAGCTCTTCGTGAAGGCAGAGGATCCGCACATGGCGTTACTGGTGTACCGGGACACACCCGGAGTGACCGGCTACAGCCCTTCGGAGCTGCTCATGGGTCGTCGTCTCCGGACCAAGCTGCCAGGGTTACCTGCATCGCTGATGCCGAAGTGGCCGTCGCCAAAGCTCGTCAAGAGCAGGGACCAGAGCGTGAAGAGCCATCAACGCAAGGACTTCAACAGGCGTCACGCCGCCCAGTCACTGCGCCCTCTGGAAGCAGGGGAAGAGGTGTGGGTACAAGATATACCATGTGCTGCTAGGGTGTTGAGCCCGGCCAAGCGGCCGCGCTCCTACGTGGTCGAGACGCCAAAGGGTGTTGTCCAGCGCAACCGTCGCCACTTGGTGCCGTTTACGCCCAGTACTACCAGCCAGCCAAGCGACTTTGTTTGCACCCAGCCTGCAACTTCAGAAGGGCCAGTTCCTGTTGCCGAAAGACCAACAGGCGATTCAGCGGTGGTGCCCAGTTCTACACGGCAGTCTCCCCCACCGGGTATACGCGTCACACGTTCGGGGCGGCAAGTCAAGCCTCCTCAAAGACTGAACTTGTGAAAGCACGAGGTAAAGCTCCCTCGAGCTGGAAGGGGAGATGTAGCGAGGACATCTGGCAATAGATGGCACCACATGTGTCGTGCTGCGGGCTTACCGGAAGCGAAGCTTCTTCCGGTTGCTGATTTACGATTAAAGGCACTTTTTGACGAGCTGTCACACGGGGTGGTTGTGTTCTTCTGCCTGGCGACCATGTGGTCGCACTCGGACGCCTACGGTCACAACAACAAGGACATCAAGGGGCATGAAAAATGGAGCACATTGGTACACTGTAACATTGGAGCACGAAACGGCGCCGTGTTGTTTGCAGACCGGTGGCGTCGCTGCGTTTCCATAGGAGCTAAGCCTTTTTCTTTCTTTACTTTTTCCTCAGGTAAGTTCGCTCTTTGCAAATTTAAAAAAAAAAAAAAAAAAAAAAAACACCATCTGTGGGCAACGCTGCACAAAGTCGTAGCACGATAGGTTAAGAAACCGAATTTTCCGGTCGATTTAAAAAGCCTGCCGTCTCCTTGAATCACCCGGTAGAATGCGTTCAAGCGCAAAAATGCACCCCATTGCTACGTCGATGCGAGGAAATTGGCCACGGGAAGAAGTGTGTTATAAAACTGGACTCTGAATGGCAGTCCTGGAGGTTGCAAACAAATGCGCGCAGTGAACTGGCACTGCGCTCGGCGTCGTCGATCTGCGTCGACTTGACTTTGCCGACGTTTTCGCTCGCTCCCCGTGCGAGAAAAATCGTAATTGTTTTATTCGCTGTGACTGATGTGCAGAGACCAGAAGAAAAAAGGATACTTGCTGCACTGGGCGTAAGCGTGGAGCAATCCACGACGACGTGAGTAATGGCTGTGCGGAGACGATAGCAGACGACAGATGCACAACCCGACGAAACCGAAACCGAAACTACCTGTTGACAGTCTCCTGCTCCCAGATTGCATCCAAAACCGCTAGGAGCGCTACCAGGTGCTACACTGACGCCCTCTTTCTCTTCGTTTCCAGGCGTCCAGGCCTCCAGGCTACCAAGTTTTAGCGTTTTGCTTGCTAGTTCGCTGTTCTCTTGTTTTGGCCTCAGCCGCCCAGCCTGCCCAGCGGTCCAGCCGCCCAAGCTGCCCAAGCGCCCAAGCTGTTGTGCAGTCCTTTCCCACTCTCCGACTCTCCTCCTAAACCTGATTGATGACGGAAAGAGAAGGCGGAGCCGTCGGAGTCGTGTGTTTGACGCGGGATCCTAACGCTGATCGAGCTTCGGACCAACAACATCCCGTGGGATAATTTGAAGCGGCATGGACGGCATTTCAAAACGCCGCCCGACCTCGGTTCGCATCCCGAAAACAGGCGCTCCCCGCTAGCCAGCAATCGTCAGTGCGACTGACGAGTGCGGTGAGCAGACATGACAGCTAGGCCTAACCGTCCTCTGCCATTTCGTTTTTCTGCCTTTCTCGGTCACAGATTGTTTTTGCGAAGTCTGTTTTGCTCGACTTTGCCGCGATTATTGACACCCATTGCGGTGAACGCAACGCGACCATCGGGGCCAATCGTGGCACACCGGGCTTTCGATGATCGGGTTGGGATCGAGCGATCGGCGTCTCGGGTGCTGACAGCCGCCGCTTCGTTTGGCGCTTCGAACTAAACGCGCTTGACGCGGTGGCCGGCCAACAAGTCCGGGATAACTCGAGTGCCATGTTGCATCTCCATGGCGATCTGCATGCCTTGCTAACAGTTCTGTGTACCCACAACAGGAACTGCCATGGCAACAGACACCAGCGACATCGCCAAGCAAGGTTACGTCCGGGTTCGGAGTCGCAACATCGGCGTAAGTGAATCCTCAAGCCTTCTTGCCGAGAGATTGTCCTGTAGGCCTGCGGAGCGATGACAAGCCCTTTTCCACTGTTCTTCCTGAAATTTGTCTGCATATGATCACGGTCCGTGATACGACCCTACATGTGCCTTGAAGAGGAGACGAGTGTGCTCGCTGCATCGCCTCAGGTGTTTTCTCAATTCCATGCCAGGTAGCTAAGAAAAAGAAAAATGGACGATGTTTTTATTAGGTTCAAGTCAAGTGCTCAAAAGAAAAGGATGAAATCAAATACCAAGAGGCTTCCTGTTCCCGGTTCTTCCAGTTGTACTTTGTAACGCAGTGTGCTCTTTGCAAGTTCAAGAACGAGGTTCTCCTTTTCGATTGACAAAAACCAAAGAAGCCTCCGTTTTTGTTTTGTCTGGTGCTCAGCTTTCCTGGGGGTTTGAATCGGTTGAGTCTCGTTGCTGGGCGCTCAAGCATGGTAGTCAAATGCAGCCTTGCCTCCTTTGGGGTGGCGACGTATCAGCATTACACAGTGTAGCATTGATTGAGGTATATCAAAACGGGAGCAATTGAAGGAGTAGAGCCCATACTCTTTCAGCGTGTTTCCCAAGGTGAAAAGATATGCAGGCTGAAAGAAGGCTGTATGTGAAAGCTGCGGCGAGGAAAGGGTTACTAAAGGCTGCTTGCACAGTTGATGATGTGCTAAGGGACCTCTGAGCCTTTCCGGGGGAACGTCGCAGGTGTGGCAGCGCCGGTGGCTGGTGTTGCGGAGGGCGGCCGGGAGAACGCCCTGCCGGCTGGAGAAGTACTTGGAGGAACGTCACGCACGCTTGCACGCCGGTCAGAAAGTGGTGCTCCTGGGACCTGCAGCGAGCGTCTGCCGGCTGCCGGCCAGTGTCAAGAGACACGCCTTTGCTCTTGCCTTCCAGGATGGCTCAGTCAAGGCCATTGCCTGTGACTCTGGTCAGTCAAATTACCACTTAGGGGCGCTATGAGAGATTTACTCCAAACTCTTGCTCAACTGTCTGCGTCAAGAAGCAGACGAGCTCAGCCATTGTGCGAGCTCACCTGGGAGCTTTATGTACGTGCCAAAAGAAAAAAAAGAAAGCAACCTGTAGTCGGCAACGGGTTTAGAATTGAGTAGATGCTCTGCCCCACGGGCATAATGCCTCTGCTGTTAAGGCCTCCACTGCGGAGAAGTGGTTTGTCGTCTGCTACCAAAGTCGGTTTCAGGTGCGGGTGGCGGGAGCCAAGCTCGCTTCGAGCGGGACGACATTGTCGCAAAGATTTTCTGTCGTGTTGTCGAAGATGGTGGCAGGACATCTTCATATGTGACGATGGTTGGACCAGCTTCACGAATAAATAAAGCTGCTTTGAAAGTGTAATATCAGTAGATGTTCTTCATTTATTAAAGCGAGCAGGAAAGCAGACAGAGTCTGGTGATGCAGCATGACAATGGTGTCGCTCGATTATTTGTACTGCGTATGGCAGGTGACCACTGCATTGTCGGACTACCAGCAAATCGCAGCAAAAACACGCTCGCATGAGCACGATTTAGCAGTCTATCTCGGGGTGCGCCTGACAGCTGACTTGCGGTGGAACGTTCGCGTCACGCTTCTGTGTTCTAAGGCTAGCAACATGCTATCTTTTTTGCATCACAATTTTAGGAAGGTTTCACCCATCCTAAAAGAAACCTTGTGCCTACATCCTGCCGATTTTAAATTGCACTTGTATGGGCCCCGCACACGCAGAACTGTATAAATTAAATCGAAAGAATCCAAAAGCAAGCTGCGAGATGTGTATCTAATAATTATGATTTCCACTATAGTATCTCTGAAATAAAGCTGAAACTTGGTTGGAAACCTCAACAGCAAAAGCAAAAATGCATTTGTCTTGTATTTTTTTAGAATATTTATGACAGTAACACTGGTCGGGATAGTTTGTCGAGTGGTGACAGGAGTGACGTCGAGGAACGAGGGCAAGCGAGCGACTGGCAGGGCACATTGAAGTGTTTGCCTGTGTTGTGCATGCTTAGTGCTCACTGTGCTCGGTGGTTGTACAGACCTGGAGGCGGACACCTGGGTGAAGCTCATGGTGCAGGAATGCCTGGAACCTCAGTCTGGGCTTTGTGCAGGAGAACCGGACATCCTAAGTCCCGGAATCCAAAAGGAGCTCCAAGGTATTGGCATTAACATCCTTCCTACGCGGTCCGTGTGGCCAGAGCTTGACCGTCGGCCCATGTGGCGGTTGCAGAGCAATTCCACGTGCACCTGGTGCCGAGCCCCAAGCTGGAGGTGTTTGGCGAGTGCCTGCTGCAGGTGACCCACGAGCACGTCTACCTGTGGGACCTCCTCAGCCCCAGGACCAAGCTGGCAGCCTGGCCTCTCACCGCCCTTCGCCGCTACGGCAGCGATCCTGCCAAGTTCACTTTCGAGGCTGGCCGGTGCGTTTTGCGAATGTCCAACATGCTGGCCACTGGAACCACCTCTCTGCATTGTTTTGAAGGCCTGCTAGAGTCTATTAGGGTGTTTTTGTAAGCACAAACTCCCTGACGACTGGTGTCTCGCAGTGTCTTGCTGAGAAGCAATGGGGAGGGATGTACATAGACAGTCGAGGATTCTTTGCAGAGATTGTGCAGTGTGGGTGATATGCCAGTTAGGCCAGCACCACCACAAGGTGAAAATTGTAATAATTAAAAACTACATTGAATTTTTGGAATGGCTAGAGCCCTAATAATGCTAAAACCTCGTGTGCAGCCAACAGGGGCCGGTTATTGATGCAGCTAAGTGATTATCAGCTTGGCTGCCACAACTCTGGAAGTAAGCGGAGCTCTCCCTTTTAAGCCTCTGCTTGTTTCGGTAGTTTAGCCACTTGGAACCTTTAATAACGGTTTCGACTGAAAGAATCTCGAGGAGATTCCTTGCCAAATTTAGACCACCTTGGGATCTTAACGAGCAACTTTGGTCAAATTTTGATGTTGAGAAAGCAACGCAGCCCTACGTCGTATCATCTGAAAAGCCTATGCGTAAAATATTACGACGCGATTCAGCCTAAAAGTTTTTTAAACCGGCCAACGAAGTCAAAGCCACCAAAATCCGCTTAACCTAGCAGGCGATGCAACGCGTATGGAGCGGCACAGTCAACGCCGCTGTGTGGACACAGCCAACACTGCACGGAACGTCAACGACTGTTTTGCTTGTTTCTACCTTTTCGAGGCACGGAGCACGAGGGCAAGGGAGAAAAAAGAGTATGGAGCGGAGAAGGAAGAAAGCAGATGACACTGCGCCACTGTTACAGGTCAACCACGCCGTCCGCCGCTTTCGTTGATGACATAGCCGACGTCTCCGTACCACGTGATGTCCTCCAGTAGGCGAGCAGGACCAATGTGGCCTGCCGGTTTAAACGAGGTTTGCGAGAAAAAATATTTGACTTTTTGGAAAACAAATGACGTAGGAGCGTTTGTTAGTAGTTTTGACATGATAACCACCGGTAATCCCAGATTTTCTGGAATTGATCGCAGTTGCCCTTTAATGTAGAACTCAACTGTTGGTTGCACAGCACTTGTGCGCAGTAAGGCTCCCTCAAATTGTGGGCGCCTTGGCCGGGATTCAAAGCTGGCTTTTTAGGGTGCTCAGACTAGGCTGCATGTGTTTCCCTGCGCAGGCACTGTGCTACGGGAGAGGGCATGTTTGTCTTTCATACGCTCGAAGGAGAGAAGATCTACTCCAAGGTGCACCAGGCAACGCTGGCCATTGCCGAGGCACATCATCGCTCCAAGCGGCTCCAGCCATTGCCTTCTGCACCGCCGCAGGTGAGCCCCTTTGCAAATGCCATTCTGCACAAGGCAGTACAGCACAAAGCCAGTGGGGGAGGGAAGTCTGCTAAGGTATGATGTTGCGGCCAAAGCGTTGCCCAGATCCGTTTTGTTGGCCCAATATTTGCTATGCTGCCAAACACTCAACTTTTTCCTGGCGTGTTATATCAATTTTATTATTAGAAAAAAAGTTGACCTAACGGAACATAAAGGGAGTGGTTTCCTGCCCCCCCTCCCAAATCTGCCCCTGCCAGTGTCGAACCGAAATTTTTAGCGGTTTGGCACGGCTTTCGGTCCAGTTCCAGGGAGCAAAAATAATGGTTCAAGCCACTTTGAACTGGTTCGAACCATTAAAGTGAGAATGTATTTCCTGTGCTGTTTAGGCCATAGGCACTGTTCTCACCGTGAAAGGAGTAGCGATATAGTTTTTCTCCTTAGCCTTTGTACGATCCACTTTTGTTTCCAGGTACCAAACATCAGAAATCGTTTCTTAATTTCGATGCACCAGTAACAAAAATCTAGATTAACATAAAAAAAAAAAAAATGTTGTGTTTATACCTACATGAATTTGTTCACCTCAGTCACATATATTTTACCTGAATCGAAAGGCTGTCACGAAGTGAGGTAGGTCGCGTAAAATACCTGTGATTGGTGCAACTTTACGTTGGAGTCTTAAAACTTGTAACGTAGTTGTGCTCTTGAATTAAGGTTACAGTGCATAAAATCGTGGAATATGCACATTGTCACCATAAAAATCGTGAAATATAATTTACAAAATGTTTCAAAATATTTATGATGATGACGCAACTCAACTAAAACCAATCATATTTTCCAAATGTCTCGGAAGTTTTAGGACAAGCTCTTTCAGTTCACCTTTGATCGAAACAGTGAGCGGAAATCACAACACTTGTTTTCCTAACCTACAGTGACGTAGGCAAAGAATCATGCAGAAAGTAGTGACCAAAATTATTCACTCTAATCCATATGCACTTTCGTACACAGATTGAAGCTGGCCTAAAATAGCGCATACCCAAGTGAACATTTTCTGATAGAGGGATAGACTAGCCTGAACCGCCGGGCTGTTGACATCTCTTCTTGACACGATGCCGGTCAATTCAATTGACAAATAAGCATCACCCGTGCTAATTGGTGATTTTTGTTTAAAGGAAAGCTGAAGCACTTCTTAAAAAAAAAATAGCTTAGGTAAATTCTGGCGTATTCCGTGAATCTGATTATCTCGTTCGTTTTTCCCAAGGATGTAAACTAAACGCGAGAAAACATGACAAATCTGCGACAAGTCGTGACGTTATACTAGGATCTTTGGGCCGCCAAGCGCTTGTTGCTCGTGTGGACAGAGCTTGCAATTGCAAGCTTGCCAGGTATGTCCCCCCGCACTGACAGCAGTTGAGACGGCTCTTTCGGACCTTCTGGGAACTAGTGAGAGTGCTCGTGCATAGCTTTGACAGGCACTGTAGATGCGCGAGACCGGAGACTCTGAAAACTCCTAATATGACGTCATGTCCCGGGAAGGAGGGGCTTCGGCCGTACTCTGAAAACTATTTTCGGCAGCCTTTGTGCACCAAATTGAAACATAATCTCGATATTCGTAACCCTGGAGGCCGAATGAAGACGATATAAGTGATTCTTCTCAAAAACAGAACTGCTTCAGTTTCCCTTTAAAGTACACATGCAAAGGAAAAAAAAAATTTTTTTTTTTAAATAGGCTAGATAGAAAAAGAATATTATAAAACAAATTTACAACAAAAAAAAAAAAGTTTAGAGCTATATTTACGGCGCAAAACGAATTTGTAGTTGGCACCCGTGGGAGCCGCCGCTGGTCACGTGGTAGGCCCGCGCACCACCACGCTGTGTTGCCGCCACCGCAAAGTCACGCCGCACGCTGAGCGTTGTGCGACACCGCTTCAGCGCATTTCTCTATGCCGCCGTCGCCGCCCGCGGGACAACTTCACGGCGGCGGTGGCGCCCCGAAGCAGCAAACTACTTCGGGCGCCGCCGCCGTCATCTGGCCAACGCACAGGTCTATCACGTCTGCTTGCGCTTTTTCAGGAGTTTCCTTTGGGCTCTAAAAGTTACTTAGTAATCTTAGTTTTTTGTTATACTTCAAACAAAGATGAATAAGTTACTTTTAGATGCCATAGGAAGCTTCCGAAGGAGCGCAAGCACCACGTGATAAATAAGGGCCAGTCACGTGATAAATAAGGGCCACTTTTCCGCGGTGCCTGCGGGCACTAACTACAAATTCGTATAGCACCATAAATATAGCTCTAAAAATTTTTTTCTCCGTTGTAAAATCATTTTATGACATCCTTTTTCCATCTAAGCTGTTTAAAAAAATTCTTTTTTTCTTTGCATTCCCCTCTCGTCTCCTCCTTTCCCTCAGTTTCTTTGCACATTTAAAGATTATATCTTCCAGGTAATTTGGGGGTGCATTTACTTACAATATCTCTAAGGTGATCGGCCCTTCATTTATGTTGTCGAATCTTCAGTCATTAATTAAATATATTTTTATTATCGGTAACTTTCACTGCATGAACCGCTTCAGACTGACACGGTAGGACGACACTCGAAAATATGCCAGCTGTTGAGCCTATCTGCGGAAACATGCTTTTTTGTTCGCTGTTTGGCAGTGTCAAACACCATGTATGCAAGAGTAATTTATGCTCACGTGATAGATCTGATGTGGAGGCAAATACACGGGTGTGCAGAAAGAAAGAAATTGTCTTTTCTAAGTAATCCCATACACAACGCCTTACTTCAAAAAAGAAATACTTAGAGATGTAATGATATTCCTAATCGCGCATAAATAGCGCGAAGGACAAAGATTATAATAATATAAATCACATTTGGACATTAGCTTGCATGAGCTCAAAACTTTGTGTAACACTGTCGCGGAAGGCTAATGTTATTTTCGGTTTTACGTGCACTTGTTTTAGGACCTCACTTTACAACTCTGTGCTTATCAGTCATGCGCTCTAACATTTGATTAGGCTGCCGCATATCATCGCGAGACTGCTTTATATTTATACTGCGCAACTTTGCAATTTAGACAGCTACTTTTTTGTTAGTGTTGCGAACGTCACATTTTACCAGGAAACTGAGCTGTTTAACATGGTTTGCACGTGACGTCATTGCACCATATGCTGGTGGTCATTGCCATTTGTTTTTGCTGAGAAACTTAAATCTGGTGGTGCAAAATGCATGCCGCAGAAGGTACACGCTCAGCAGCAAGGCCGCCACAATAGCAGCTAATGTAAGGTCAGTGCACACCATGTATTTGAGATACACAAATTATGCTCGCTTGGTGCAGCATCGTGAGGAATGGCGCGAGCGTCTGGCACCAGAAAAACGCGCTTTCCAGAATGAGTGTTTTGGCAAACAAAGTAGTTTCCAGGGACACACTCTAAAACTACCCATCCTCCTTTTTTTAAAGTTTTTTCCTCGCTCCATTAGAGAATATTTTTCATTGACCCTCCTCTGTTTGAGGGTGTTAATTTGACGGTTATATTTGTGTCACCTGTAAACAGGAATCCTCCAATGCTCTTATTATGCACCCAAAAACTGAAATATAAGCAAAATCCTTTGGTGGTGGAAGCTTGGGGAAGAACGTGAGAACGACACTCATGGGAGACATTGGAGAGGCTACCAACGTTCAGCTGTCTCCCTGAGGCCACCAGGATTCATCTTTTCAGGGATCCCTTCCTTACACATTTGTAGTTTTATGTAACCTCGGGTTCATAAGTCACATTTAGTTTTTCCAGTGCTTCTATTCTCGGGGACAACTTTCTGAGGCAGTGGAATAACAATGAAAGCATGTTTGGGTACCTCGGTGATATGCACCTATAAAATAGGTCGTGCAACAATTTTCATACTTTCAGTGAACATCACTAAGAACTAATCCCTATTGTTGATAACCTGCGAATACCCATTAGTTTTCCTCTCTGCACAATGGCAGACGCGGAAAAAATAAAGGAACGAAACAATTTTCCCTTCCTCAAATCGCAATGAAGAAATGGCCGCATGATCTAGCGCTAATTATATACCATCAGTGTTCATCATAGTCATGCACTGGGGCAAAGCGTAGAGCATGGGCTGAGCTTCAGACATTGTTACAATTTGGCTGTTCTCATATTTAATTGAACACGAGCCATTACCAGAATGTTTGACGATGCCGATTGTCATGCACACGAGCACTCAACTCGGGCTCATGAGAATCGAATAGGTCACGGTGTCAACAACGCTAATTAGTCTAGTGACACTCTCAATTTGAATCGACTTGATGCAGTGAGTCAGATGACCATGTCACAGGGCCACGTGACATGGCATTACTTCAGAGCATATCTTGACACCGTGGCGCCTCGTGACACGTGACGCCACATGATTAATCGTAATGCCAATACAAAGTGCCATAAAAACCCACAATTTCTCATACTTTGCAATTCTGTATAACGATTTGATTAATACATAGAAATACAGCTGCCAATTTTTGATTCTCAAATATTCAGCTTGTTATATCAACAAAAAGAAGGAAAAAAAAAAAAAAAAAAAACATGAACCGTTTTGAGCTGGTTATATTTTTTTCCGGTTCAGTTCTAAAATGGCGGCAAAGATTTCACTTCAGGTCGGTTCAGGTCCACCTCAAAATAACGGTTCGGTTCTGGTTTGACACTGGCCCCTGCACAGAGCGGGGCCAGCCTAGCAGGGAGCTGAGGAAACTGTCCAAGGGACCAGTACTGGTTCAGCAAAGTGTCGGGACTTCCCAGAACCAGCGTCTATTTTTCTCTACGTATTTAGTGCGGCTGCACAAGACATACAGTGAACTCAAAACTCTAAATAGTTTAATTGTTTTGCTCAGGAAACGCCTGTGAAACCGTGTTTTACTATTGCAAAGTCTCTTGCTCGCATACGTGTGGGTACAGTGCTGAAACTCGTTCAGTGAAAGCATGTTTTGAAACCACGACAATCGTGGCAAGGAGCAATTAGGCCAAGCTGGAGGAGCAAGAAAGGGGAAGCTGGCAGTTGCATAGGGCACCTTGCCAATCCCAAGGCCCTTGCACAACTTCCTTGTTTGGGGCGTGCATACCTTAGTGCGCAAACATGGTTGCTTGCTGCGGAGCGTAATGGCACTGCGATAACGCCTGTGTGCAGCCTTTCAGCCAGTCTTTATTGACCCGTGGCTTTGTCCCAAACATCGCCCAACCTAACGAACTGTGGTCGGCATATTCCAGGAGAATGGCTGGGTTTTCGGTGACCTTATTTCGGGTGGAGACCAAGTTGCTTTCAGTTATGAACATAAGAAAGCACCCTTCTGTTATCTATTCCTTGCTATCAAACTCCTTTTACCTTATGTTCCGCGGTCACCTTTCTGGAGATTGGATGTTTGCTGACTTCGCAATCCGTAAATAGCAATGTAGTCGTCGTCTTGATTGTAGAAACGGACTTTTGTTTATTAACAAAACGGAAGCTTCATTTTGATATCTCAATCGTTTTTATTTCCACAAACGTCCTCGGACCCTTTTGGGGTCGCAGAGATCGGGAAGGATGCGTGGACAATGTAAAGTTACGCAGAAGCTACCTCTGACCTCACAGTCTGCGATGGGAACTTTTGGGGAAGATAGGTGTTTGTGGATGGCAAGGTCCACGGGCTTGGTGCTTTTTTGGAAATTGGTATTTTGTCCAAAAAGAGGCGATGACTCAAGATCTTACGGCATTTCTGAAGAAGGGGTGTTAGAATGCTAAACGAGGCTTTGGGGAAACCTGTTGCAGGCTCTGGTGCACGCAGCTGGCACGACGTCGGCACCCCTCCCGTACCGCAGCTCGACGAGCCCACTGCAGCAGTTTGGCTCCTCGGAGGTGCTGGTAGACCACGAGCGGGGTGCTTCGTTCTGTGCCGGCCTGGCCACCTCATTGAGAGACTTGGCAACCACGTCGTGCTCCTTGGACGACATTCTCCATCCGCTCGTGACGACGGCAGTCGAGCGCAGGGGAACCTCGCGATGCAGCCTGCGTTCCCACCTGCTCCAGTTCCAAGGGCGCTAGGCGTGTTCACGAGGCCGTCGCTTCTGCTTCAGAGACTCAACCCCGCACACGAGAGACGCCTCGAGTGACTGGTGCCCGCGTTGTGTGGGGCAGAAGGCTGCCTCGAGGTGTGCGCCAACGTGTCATCACGTTTTGTTCTTCGTTTTGGCAACAGGCAAGGGTTTACCTTCTGCTCGCCGGGGAAGCTTAGCTTGTGTGGCATGCAGCGGGTCAAGGTGAGGCTGTGCACCAAGTGGGAGAGGCGAAGGTCTTGCCAGTGCTGATGATTGTGGCAAGTGTGGAGAAGGACAAACAGCTTTCATTTTCCTACTGCCACCCCTGTTGGAGCAGCTGAGTGCTTGTGGCCATACTGTCCATGCCCAATGATGTTTCGAGGTACACAAAGTGCGCACTTTTCGGTACAATGAGTGTAGACCCTTATAATTGCTCTCACTCGAGGAAAGCTAGCAAGAAGTCGCATGTTGACCCCTCCTTTTTTGTGTCCACTATGCAGTTTTTGTTGAAATAGCAGGGAATGTTGTATAATTAAGCGATAGTGTTGCACGATACGTTATGGACACAGCAACTTTTAACCTAAGTTGCGCCAAGTGGGTACAGCTCTGTGCAGTACATTTTCTCTTCTGAATACCTGTACAGGAGTGGAAACTGCTTGCAACATTTCCCACTATTTTGCGAGAGGTTGAATCTCATGAGCCCAGTTGAACTTGACCATCATCCTTGTCAATTTTTCTTGCTGTGTCTGCCCGCTGCAGCTTTAAAACCAATGGAGTGGCTATGAATGCTTAATGATGATCTTGCTAATGAACTATGAAGACATGTTTGAGCAGCAACTTTTGAAAGGTGTAAATACATTTCTTTTTACAAAGAATGCATTTTATTTTTACAACACATGTTGATAGCAAGGGCAGTTTTGCAAGGATATTTTCCAGTTGCACACTTAAGACATGTTCATAGAAAATCTGTACAGGAGTCTGGCATCATTGCAAGAATAAAACACACTCAATCAAGACTTGGTTGGCAACTTTGAGAGTGCTGCTTCATGCTAATTGCACACCTTGTCCAGATTTCAATACCACTTTATTTCTTACTACTCTCCCTACCATGGGGAAAAGTGGCCATTTTTGAGGGGTGGAAAAAGCATGTTTTAAGAACTAAGCATGACTATTTATGAAATTTAGCCAATAAGCTGGTCTTTAGAAAAAAAGTTAACATTATTGGCTATATAAAATCATACTACGATTTAAAAAAAAAAGAAAAAAAAAAATCCTGAATACCCAAAGTGTGTCCCATATCCACCACTGTCACTTCTGTAAGTTAAAAAGCTCCTACAGGGGGGGGGGGGGGTTGTGGCATGGAGGTGCGTGCCCTCCGGAACATTTTTTTTTGCACAAAAAAAGCTTGGTTTGTCATAGCACTGCTGTAACTTATCATCTGCTGCTATTTTGATGGCTTGCAACACATCAAATATGTGCCCTGGCTCAAGACAGCCTAGGAAGTTGAATGACGCTCTCGAACGAGCACCTGTCGATATTCTGCACCTTGGGGATGAAACATAATCAAATAATCCTACATCATCCACAGTCATCACTGCTGCCGTCATCCAAAATAGAGCAGCAGTTCATTTGTGCAATTGAGGCCGTCTTCATAGTGGTCCCCATTGCCAGCAGTGTTTGGCAAGTGCCACCGCCAAGCAGAGATTTTTCTTGGAGCTTGCCAGCTTAGTTGAAGGTGCAAAACTAAATGGTTACCGAAGCTGCAGTTCTCCCGTTATTCAGGAGATGTCATAGCATGTTTGAATTTTGAGGGCACGCAGAAACCATAGATTGCAGGTGATTGATGGCCTGTGACTGTGGTACGGAGAGTGGCTTTGGTAAACTGAAGCCCATGTAATAGACCTCTCGCAAAACTGAAGCTATTCTAGCGGCATAGTGCCGCGCAAAGCACCTTGGGAACCCACTGCTCAGTGTTTTGATTTGCCAACCTAAATTCGTGACATCCCATCAAGACCAAGTACACTGCATGCATTTTTGGCGACTTTCTTTAAATTTATAATACTAATACTGTAGGTGCTGCCTACCAAAATGGAAATAATGCTGAAGCACATTTGTTTGGAGCTCCCGACGTCACCAGAGTTTGTGCTCAGGTAAACGCAGGAAGAAGAAATGTACTGGGCCGATCATCCGTTCCATTGTCTCAATGTATAGGCTTACTTTGTTTTGGTGCAGTGCTGAGATGCACTACTTGGTCAACGGGGCAGTCGAAATCATGCCACTACTTTCCATGGCCCAAGAGGTCCCATAATGCAATGTATGCAGTGTTGCATAAAGGGGGTCTTTGGAAGTAGTCTATTCGCAGGTTAACCATAGCACGAGATCTAAATAACGGGAGAACTGCAGCTTCGGTAACCATTTAGTTTTGCGCCTTCAACCAAGCTGGCAAGCTCCGAGAAAAAAAAATCTCTGCTTGGCGGTGGCACTTGCCAAACACTGCTGGCATTGGGGACCACTACAAAGACAGCCTCAATTGCACCAATGAACTGCTGCTCGATTTTGGATGACGGCAGCAGTGATGACTGTGGATGATGTTGGATCATTTGATTGGTATGTTTCATCCCCAAGGTGCAGAATCTTGTGTTGAGGTAGCAATCTGGAATGCTCACTTTCAATAAGTAATCCTAGGTTTGTGTTTAAAGGAACTATTCCGGAAAAGTGTTGAACATGGAAAACGAGACCGACCTGGATAATGCCATACGGGTCTGTCCCTAATGTTTATTAAACATTAGGGACAGACCCGTATGGCATTATCCAGGTCGGTCTCGTTTTCCATGTTCAAGATCTCCAAGAATTTACTTGCCTTTCAAAAAGCATCCACTTCTTTTCTAATTTCAACTCCTTCCTATCATATGTAAACAAGCACGCAAGAACCAAAGGAAATTGCAAATATCAGTGGTAACGTAGTCAACTTAAACATGGTGCTTACTACACATAAAAAGGGGGAGAAAATAAAGCCAAACGTCTTTGCCATCACCTTGTCTTCCCAACGGCCTTGCTGACCCAGCTGCTTCCAAGACCAGCAGTCTTGGAAGCAGCTGGATCAGCGAACACAAACCTATGAGTAGCCAAAGTTTCACGACATTGGCCAAGTTTGCCAAGTGCTGTGAACCGAGTGAGTGATGTCCACGAGTCCAACTTGAGCGGTACTATGATCACCGAGGTGCAGTGACCCAGATGTACACCCATTGGTCACAAGCTTTATTGCTATTTCATAAAATTGTGATCCTAATGGGCAAGTTTGAGTTGGACGTTACCAGTGCAAGTTTTGTATCTTGAGCTTGGGGAGCTAAGTGGCAACAACTTTTGTATCTTGGCAAGATTTGTAAACCCAAATCCAAAATAGTGTTCTGCAATGGGTTTAGGCGGGTGGGCGAGGGTAAAACCAATCCACTTCCCCAGTGGCCTTCTCGGTGTTGTGTAGCTCGACACCTTCTTGGCAGCAGTCAAGGTACTCGGCTAAAGCCAGAAAGAAGTTTGCCAGCTTTCCTCCCCAACCAGACTACACGTGAGCATGGTAGTGCAAACATCCTTCAGGGCACCATGCTCGTAAAGTGGAACAGACTATTTGCAACTCTAGTTCCTATCAAAGCGGCTTGCCATCTGGATGATCGTCGAAGGACAGCACTACAAGGTTGGGTCAGCCTAACTAATTATAATTTTGTGAAATACAAGCGATATAGGAGCCTTACCTCATACCTCCATGTCGGGAAGGTGCAAGATCCAGGGGCCAGAGAGCGCACTTCTCAACAGTGTTGTGAAGAGCAAAAAAATGCCCATCTAAATCGGCTGGCCGTCGCAGTAGTCTGGCCAAGCATGTTTCAGTTTGTACACCACCATGCTGCAGATTTCATCCATGGACTTGGAGGGGCACTGAGCTTCCAAACTGAGTGGGCAGTAGGGTAATTTATTGTGAAAACACTTTCTGAAAAAGTTGTGAAGAGAAGCACTACCCACAAGGAAAGCACTCCAAATCATCACTAGGGCAGGTCATCAAGGTCTGTTTATTGTTTGCTCTTCTTTTACAGCATCCTAGGGACAGTAGCATGCCCATTATACACTGCACACCCAAACAAAAGCACACTTGGACAGCTTTGTTCAGTTCTTACATTGTCGCTCGAATTTATCCACCTGCCGCATACTTTTCATTTACTTAAAAAATGGGGCACCCCAATGGAACAGAACCAGACTGAATCCAGAAAGCCTGGACTAAGCTTTGTCTCTCATAGAGCTGATACCCTCTAGGACCAAGATATCCAATTAATGAATACATTTGTTCATTCATTACTTGTGAAACAAGTACTTGTATACAACTAATTGAAGGATAGTGTGTCCCATGGCTAGCTTGCGAAACACCTTGCATGCATCTCTCGGGGCAAAAGCAAACAATATGCCAAGCAGGTTTCACAATGTGCAAATTAAACTGTGCTCGCCTCAACAAGGGCCTAAAATATTCCCGACATTCCCTTTTCGAACTGAAAATTATGAAGACAAGTATCGTAAGAAAACTGACTTCAGGGGAGACACTGATCTTGAACATATTTTTGTCTATAAAAAACAGCTATAAAAAATAAACTTTATCACAAATGTTTCTGCCCAACTTTTCAACAAGAGTACACCCATCAAAAACTCGCACAAATTATGTCTGCAATTTCTACAAACAGTAGAGTGCAGCAATACCATTTTTATGGTTTTAGCATCATTCTAGAAAAAGTCATCACATAGTGAAATTTCGACATTTTGGTTCTTTAGACCCATGTTACGGATAAAAAGACCGGCGCGGGATGGCCAAAAAAACGCGCTTTTTATGCAAGGCTCGTGAAATTATGAGGTGCTGGAAAAAATTGGCCTTCTGTGTTAAGTCCTTACTTCAAACTCATTTTGTTCGCGTTTCGCCCATTGAAAAACATGCGGGGATGGTCTTAGCATGCACCATGTGTCGCCGCACCACAGTGTTCTTCCGCAGTAAAAAGGCCATCTGCTTTCATCGCCGTCACCATGGCAACGAACTCCAAATGACCTTTCCGGACGGTGCGTGTACCACTGGGGAACGTGTTAACCCACCCTTCGCCTGTGTTCACGCCGACAGTCTGCGGCTGGTCATTACAAAACTATTAAGGCCAGTTCAGACACTTGCATTTGACTGTGTTGCATCGAGAACCGAAAGCGAGTCACCGGCACATCTGTGCTTCGAATAAAGCGTGGAATCCAATTCAAGGACATCTTGGCACGCGATATAAGCAGCAGGGATGTCCTGGTTTCTCGCTGCCGCAACGCAGTCAAACGCAACTGTCTGAACCAGGCTTTAAACTTTGGGCGGCAGACGGTGTTCGGAAAATTCGGCGTTCGTAATGAAAGCAGACCGCCTTTATGCTGCGGAAGAACACCGCGGCACAGCGATACAAGATGTGTGCCGAGGCCCTTTCCACGTGTATTTCAGAGGCAGAACGAAAACAAAGAGTTCGAAATAAGGACCCGATGCAGAAGGCTGCTTTTCTCCAGCGCTTTATAATTTGACAAGCCTTACATGACAAGCGTGTTTTTAGACGGGAGTTTGGAGATACCGTAATATCCCGTGTCATTGCCCATCCCAGTCGTCGGCTGCCCCACTTTTTGGGCCAATATCGATTTCCAAAAAAAAAACACTGAGTCACCGCCCACCCCTTCAAATGCCCCAAAGCTGACTCCGCGACCCGTGAACATTTATCCTACCCGAATGACGCGACCGCAGACCTTACAGTTGGAGGTGTCCCTGACAAAGTAAAACGCGGGAGAGAAAGACACTTCTCTTTGTTTACGCATTTCCTCCGCGAGTGACCTCGGAGCCGTAGTGTGTCCGCGTGAAAAGAAAACGATGAAGATAACAAAGTAAAAGTATGTTTTGCTTACAAAAAAATTGTCCCAAGAGAAAAAAAAAAAAAAAAAAAAAAGTTGGACAGGAATTGCGATGTAAGCGAACGCCCCATACCCTGCAACTGCGGTGTGCAAGACAGGTAAATAAAGCTTTGCTGGAACGATGCACACACCAAAGTATTTGCCAACGCGATCGCCGGCTTCCCCGCTTTCCCAGCATCTCTCTTCGTCGCTTCTTTGGTCTGCTCGCTCATAGCGCCTACTGGTTTTTCTATTTTCTTGGAAACCTTATTATTTTTTTTTAACTAACAAGGAAAACATAGCGGTGTAACGTGCTTTCACAGAACAAACGTTAGCGTTGTATGCCGATCGGCAGTGTTCATGGTGCGTATGCAAGCAACGGACTTTGCAATGGTAAAACATACTTTCATGGGCATTTTTTGCTTAAAACAATAAAATTAATTTGAGTTTTGAGTTTAATGTATTTCTTCTGCAGCCGCGCTTGATACGCAAAAAAAAAAAAGAAAAAAAAAAGGCCGTTTTCTTTAGATTTTTTTAACTTTTTGTGCTCACCTATCGAGACATGGCCCATCCCACTTCTATGAATTTCAGGCGGCAGTGGGGTGGGCGATGACTCAGGATATTAAAATAGACTATTTTTTTACAACAACATGGGTCTAAAGCAAGGGTGGCCAAGCTGACCCAGCCTAAGAGCCGCAAACAGGGCCACGAAACATGAAAAGCCGCAAGGGGGGGGGGGCAAACTTTTGGCCAGGGCAATAACCGAAACTCGAACTACTTTCAGTCTATCCGAGTCAAAATCAGTCCAGCTGTACGTAACGCAGCAGTCGCACAAGACTACCAAACCGCAACCTGTCTTTATATTTAAAACGAGTTCCATTTCTCTTTTTGGGGAAGTGTTTGTGTGACCTGGAGGGAGGCGGGGGAGTGGAAGGAGGGAAGGGAGCCCTGAGCAGCTCTTTAACACGCAAAGAGCCGCAGCTTGGTCACCCCTGGTCTAAAGCATCAATGTGTCAAAATTCCTTCACTGATAACTAGAATTAAGTCATTAAAGTTATCGCCAATTAGAAAAACTTGGATAACAGTTTTGAGAGATAGTAATCCTATTGCACCCCGACTAAATAAACTGCAGAAAAACATACTCGAGAGGGTTGTTTGGAGTTTTATAACATACTCGTAAAGTCAGTCAACGTTTCGGCCTGAGACAGACCTTTTTGCAGAAACGTCGACTGAAAAGGTCCGTCTCAGGCCGAGACGTTGACTGACTTTACGAATAATATGTTACAAAATGCCAAGCAACCGTCTCAAGTACGTCTTTCTGCCGTTTATACTTTTTGGCATCCTGCGCTACGTTTTTTTTGTATGTGTGTGTGTGTATATATATATATATATATATATATATATATATATATATATATATATATATATATATATATATATATATATTCAGATCCAGATATACTGTGGGCAATGTGACAAAAGAATTAATTCTGAGAAAACAGGGGAAAACTTTTGAAAACATGCTTGTAAATAGCTTGGACATGAAACTTTAAATCAACATAATGAAATAACTGTGCACTATCTGAATGTAGTAATTGGAACATCAGTAAAAAAAACTAAAATAACTGTCATTTTCAACCTTGAAGATTAATGTCTCCCCTTCACTTGAGTTGAATCATCCTGCGTGGCTGTATGCAAGAGCAGCCGACACTGCCAGTTTTACCCGCTGCACCACACCAGTGTCGCTGCTGGGACAGTGGTCACCACAAGCGGAGATGGATGGAAGGAAGAAACCGCCTTCAGGGAGAATGGCTGCTTACTGTGCCAGGCTAGGCAATGGGACCGGGTCGCCAGCCTGCGCGCCACAACAGCGGCAAGCAACAACTAGCAGACCAGAAAATGCAGTTTCGAGAAAATGATGAATGTGACGTCACTTGAATGCAACCAGTCCAGTGTGAATGAGGGAACCTGAAAGCTGTCCCACAACACTGCCGTGTCGCAAAATGGGATGAAAAGCATGCAAACCATATCACTGGCCGTGCAGCTCCAAAGAAAAAAGTGAATAAGTCCACAGTTCGAGACGGCTGGTGCCAAACGGGAGCCGTGGCGAAGGTCTCAAAGCAGCCGATGCAACCTCACTGGTGGCTGAACAGGTCCCCAGCCGAGGGCAGCGGCGCCAGGCCCCCCGTGACGCTTGGCAGCAGCGTCAAGTCCGGAAGGTTCTGCAGGTGCGACTTGAGCTCGTCTCGCACGTGCGTCACTTTGCGCAGCTTGTCCCTGTGCTCCTGCGGTCAAACCAGAAGAAATGCCACACAACTCCCACATGTGAAAGCGCATCAATCCGCCGACTAGGGTGGCGAATTTCCCGCCACACTATCCAAACAAGCTAACTGGCACACGTATACACCAGCTAAACTCTGTTATGTCCCGTCGGAGGTATGGTCAAAAAACGCCAGGCAGGTCAGTCATTGCTATGGTTTTTTGGTAGCAACTAGCAGAAACCTGCCGTTTCATCGAAATGCCGCACAGTTGTGTAGACTGGACTGCATCAGAAGAGCTGGGAAAGGTGCCAAGACGAGTTTCCGGCCAGCTCCATCCGTTCAAGAACGTCCTCGAACGTCGAGAGGTTCCGTGAAATAAAAATCACCTTCATCCTATGGATAAAGAAGGGACGCACAAAATGTGCAGCGTCTTTTAAAGGGACACTGACAGGGTATTTGTGCTCGCCGAGGTTTTTAGTTGTATGTGACATATGAGAGCTCAACTACCCAGAACAGAATTTGCGGCTCGAAATTCGGTTTCTTTCCGCCCGAAAACCGCCGATCAAGAACTGGCCGGTTCGAGTCTCGCTCACTCTCTTTTCCGCGGTCACGGGCCATTTTCTAAGGTATCGATGCGACCACCAAATTTAATCAAAGTCGTGGGTCAGCTGAAGGCACACACTCAATATTAAAAATAGAAAAAAATATGAAACCCATTTTTTGTGGCTTCTAAAAAGCTGCAAATACGTTGATTGAAAAAAAAAGTTCCACAGACAACCGGAAGCATTCTGTGCGTGCGTCGTTTCGAGTATCGTGGGACTCGCGGGGACGGCGATGGCAGCGGACAACGGGCGTGGGACTCGGTGGGAAGACGTCTGCTTCACACGAGTTAGGAGCGAATTCGATCCCCCGTGAAACCTTTTTTTTTTTTTTTTTTTTTTTTCAAACATCTTCTGATGTCTACATTTTTTTTTTCTTTTTACAATTATTACTGAAAAAAAAAAAAAAAGAAACAAATGTTGTGCACGACACGTCGCTGAATTAAATGGTATGGGATTTCCTTTTTGACACCTGCGAACTCAATGTAATCACTTTCCACAAAATGCAAGGAGCATATAAATCAGGTAGCGTCCGCTTTCCGAGGCTCCCGTAGATGGTCTACAGGAATTGCAGCCAGCCATTGGTCCCGATTCCGTTGATCTTTCGGAAACTCTGTCGCACAATGGCACTTTTTTTCGGAAGCAGGACATGCGAGCCAGCTGTTCACGCAACATCTTGGGTGTATTCTTTTCGGAGCCGATCATGGAAATTCACCACGGGCACTCACTACTCATCTCCAACTCCTCAATGTACATACGCCCATGTCGTCTGCTACCGGAAAGGAGAAAAAAAAAACAAAAAAAACGCACGGTTGGTTGTAGCCACACTGTGGGTGTAGCCACGTGACTTCCGCCACTCACTCTCTTCTCTCCACTTCTCCGACCTCCGTCGGGTTTCGGTTTCGAGCAGTTGCGTCTTTTGGCTTTATTAAAAATATACGCTACTCTGTTGCAAAATATTAATTGGGTAGTCCTCCGACACCATAATGAAGCCTGGCAAAAAAATAGAAAAAAAATTTTGGGGGGTGTCAGTGTCCCTTTAAGCTGCCCTGGATCTTTATTTATGAGACACACGCTGCACATAATGCACCTCTTGCCCTTTATATGCAAAACTAAGTACATTTCAACTTATTCTGGTGCTAAGGGCACTCTTCTATCTCCCCCACAGGAAGTTACTCCACGCGGAAAGGAAGAATTGAGGGAAAGTTTCTTCCGGCACGGCAGCCCAATATTCCCCATGTCGAGCGGCCTCATCTCCCGACATCATCGGTGGGTCACACCATCACGTGGTTCCTGTGTATCATCTGACCACATATAGCGACGTCGGATGATACCACTGCATCACGTAACATAGTGATTACATGGTCATGCAGCCTATGTTCAATAAGTGATCATGTAACTCATGTGTTCACAGTCTGAAGATACATCATTGATTAGTAAAGCATGTTTCTCTCGTCTACAAAAGGCTATGGTTTACGTTGTCACTGCGTTTTTCTGTCTTGTTTTCATGTTTTGGTACTTTTGCTTTCGAGTAGCTTCTCGGAGAGGGTGGATTAGGCTCTTCCTAGCACTGGATGTGCAGGGAGAGGGATTTGGCCTCTGGGGTCCAACCAACTGGGGGATGCCAACGGAAGGCAGGCCTTGGTTTGTCATTTTCATTTACAAAAGAAAACCTGCATTATAGCAGGTACAGCCCATGGACGCTCAATAAAGAACTAAAAAACAAAACACTTGGATATACAACATTGGCTGTCAAAAAAGAGAATACATAAACGATAGTAATAAATAACAACCTTAAAAATCAAGACCATTTCCTGAGGCAAATGGTCCCACGTCATCATTATTAAAAAAAGAGACTAGGGTAACAGGTTTCACTGAGCGATTGTGTGTGGACAAATTTCCCTGATCTTTCTGGAATGATGCACACAATATGTAACATAGTTAGGTAATTCTATGTATTTGCTTTATCAATACACCTGCCAAATCGTTAAAAATTGTGAGCAGGAACCTGAATCGAAAATTCTTGCGTTTTAACAATAAAGGTTCCCAACCAAGTACATTTTTAATCTCTGTAACGCTATTGTTTCTACTATAATTTCCTGTTACAAATCTCACCGCACAGTTTTGAAGTTTCTCTAACTTATCTGCAAGATGCTTTTGGTGCGGATCCCACAAAACACATGCATACTCGTGTTGGACTAACCAAACACCAGCAGGCTGTCTCCCTTAGTTTCTGTCGAGCACCGTATAAATTTCGAATAAAAAAATTTAAAGTTTGGCTGGCCTTTTTAGCAGTTTCAGTGACATGAACATTAAAAAAAAAAGTGTGCTCGACAAGGTAATCTAGAAATATGTATTACTTAATTTATGATAATCAATAAAATAACATGAAATGATGAGACAGGGTTGTGAAGATGTCTTCAGATTATCTGTGTATAAGCGCCTTTTCAAGGCTTAGAGTTTGAATATGAAACACAGAGGTTTTGGGAGAGTCGACCCAGGGATCTCCAGAGGCGAGAGAAGGAGTAGCGGGAGTCAAGCAACAGATCTTCAGAGAGATGCATCCAGAGCTTGAGCAGGGAGACGCAAGAGAACTTCCAAGCGAGTTACATCCAGAGAGATGTTGCGGAGTTAGCCGCTGAGTCTGAGGAGATACTCATAGTCAGATATGGCAGAGGCCTTCTAGCTTAGGAAGAGTACTTTTATATACCGTCCAATCAACCAAGTTATTATATTCTATATGTCTCTGTCCTCGTCACTGCAAGAGGACAAGAATGCCCTGGACCAGCTCATCAGGCATCGCAACACCAACAAGAAAAAAATGTCAACAAGTGTATCATTACAGTAACCTACAGAGATCATGTGACTCCTTTCACCATTAGGGCAAGAAAGTCTTTGCAGCAACACAAGTACACAACTACAACGATGCTCATCGAAGCCGCTACGCTGGTACAGTGCATCGGATTATGGAGCAAGAGGTTGGAGGTTATCATGTTTTGCGGCAACATTTCGTGATGCTCTAGGCTTGAAAACCAACCCTAAAACACATTACAACTAGATGCTATGAGACCACGATTGGCAAGGGCAGGGGGTGAAGCAGGCACTTTGTAACGCATATTCGTAAGATTTACTTGTATTGCTTTAAAGGGCAACTCCACTTCATTTTTGATATTTAGAAAACTATGCAGCCCTCTTCAGTATCATATAGGAAGACCCCATGTCAAATATTATGATCTAATTCTGTCTATATATTTAATAAACTGGGCAGCAAACTTTCAAATGAGCCAAGTCGCCGAAATCTGCCAACTCTAGCGCGCGACGTGAGGTGCAATCGTCAGCGTAGTCAATGCGACAGAGATGGAGTGGCCAACGTTGAGCCACTATGTCAGAGGCATGTCTATGTCATCCTCACGTTTTGTTTGTTTTTACTTCTCAGAGCAAAATTGAACGATGACGTCATGAGTTTCTCCTCCCGGTGTTGGCTGAACGGCGTCCACGTGATCACCGTAACGCGGAGGCGCTAGTTTGCGCTGCCCTGCGTACTTATCGGTCTGTTTCTCCGCTCCCCCTCTCCTCTTTTGTATTCTCCCCTTCCCCCTCTCCCCCGGGGCCATCACCGTCCACGCCATGCGAAGCGACCTGCCCGCGTCGCGTGTCCTGTACCTCGCCCCCACGAATGTCACAAGACCAAGTGGTTCGACGTGACGTGGCCATAACTCTGACACGAAACCAATGTTGCCTGATGCAAACGAAGTTTCGGTTTCGGTATCTGCTGATGTTTAAATTAAGATTACACAAATAATATTCCACATTCTGCGAATCCGAAGACGTAGAGCTGTTTAGTAGTGCTTTGTGAAATGGAATCACATGTAAGCCTAACTTTTTCGGAATTGAGCGGAATCGCCTTTTAATATGAACGACGCGGGAGAACCATAGAGAGGTCCAGAACACATTCAGGGCTACTTGATGTCCAAACGACAACAGACCATGTCAAGGATATATGTGCCGTTTCAAAGACAATTGCGATACAAAGGAATTGCAGGTCTTCAAAGACAACTTGATGTGTACCTGGGGTAAATCAGCTCACTGTAAACAGTATATACAAGGAGATTTTGACCACACTGACCCGATTCTGCTTGCTATTTTCAGTTGCACCGTCGAGCTTCCATCCACGCTTTTTCTGCAGCCTGAGCGTGACTTAACAAGCAGAAAGCACCGTGTGAATCGGGCTCTCATTCTTCCACCCAGTATGGACCGCCATACGTTGCACCATCCATGCCAAGTTTTGCAGCGTAACGAGCCTTGCCCATTTCATGCAGGTCATTAAAGGACATTGCTTGGAAGTTGCAGGTACATCCTGCTAGTTTGTTAATGGGGGACACCACACTTCTTGCCCACCCCACTGCACATGTGCACAGTGGAGGGTGGGCAAGTTTGTTTGCAAACACGAGTTCATGTATTAAAACACTTGCAGCCAGTATTGGACAAAAGTCTTGTACGCAGAGTATGTCATAGGTTAGTTAACGTCGGTGCAATTGTGTTTACGCCGAGACTTGCAGACCCATGCTACATCACACCATGCGACGCATCACGTCACATCATGTGGTTATGTCACCTCCAGGTCACTTTTGTGTGTCGGTCTTTTCCTACATTGCCTCCCCTGTGACATATTTTGTGTTAAAAAGAAGAGTACCCACCTCTAGTTTCTGTTCAGCCAGGGCCATGAGCTCCCTCTGGTGAAAGGTGAAATTGGCAAGCATTTGCGAGACCTGCTTGCGATCTTCCAGCTCTTGCGTCAGCTTGCTGTTGTACTCGGCCAGCAGAGAACAGGCCTCCTCCACTTGTTCAGCCAACTGCTTGCCAGATTCTCGGTCTGTCCACAGGGAGAGGACCCACAATCTCAACCCCCTTCATGCTATCCCCAAGCAAATACCATTTATCAAAAGCCAATAAACAAAATTCTTGGCATCACCCAGCACATGCAGTGAAGAGAAGCAAGAGGAGCCTGAAGACATCAGTACGCACCTACAATCTTGTCCAAGAGAGAGGCATCCGACACTTCGGGAGGTAGGCTAGCAATGCGTTCGCGAACAGCTGCATCCGAAGAGGCTGTGTTTTCCAAGTCTGCTAGGGCTTTGATGAGCACTGTGGGCTGAAATCCAAGGAACATTACACAGCAACACTTGAATGTTCCCATTTTCCCAGTGGCAGCAGCAAAAAAAAATCCAAGGAACTTAGGGGGACTTTTGTCGTCGCCCCCCCAAGTGCCTTCACTTTTCTTCTCCCATCAACACACAGAAACAAAGGTTTTCAGCTCCACTCAAGGCTGTCTCAATAGACCCTTTGCAAAAATTTCAAAAGCCTGCGTGCGCCGCGCAACGAATAATGAGAGTCCTTGGTATGCCCCTCCTCCCGCTACGTGACCACGTGGCATACGCGAGCAGGCGCAGGTTACCACGGCAACAACTTTTGAGCGGCCGAGCCGGGCGAGCGACGAGCCAACGGCTGCCCCTTTCTCATCCCTCTCCTTTGTACCGGCTCTGTCATCTGCTGCACCAACGCTTTGTCGAACCCGGTCGAAACCTGCCACGGTTGCAGTGCAAACTAAATGGATTCGGTGACGCTTTAATACGTGAAGGTAAGTTACGACGAATAACGTATTCAAATAAGTTCACCTGTCGCAATGCCTTTACGCTGACACAGATACGGTACGCCGCGAACGACGTACGACTCGGCGGATGGGCGGGATGGTGGATGGCTGCAACGGCTGCTGGCGGGAGCTGCCGGGATGCGCGCGCAGTCGCAGAGGTGCGTCGAGAAAGCGTGTGATCTGTACCGAGGGTTCCCAAAATTCCCTGCCGTCGTGGCACTGTACGTTTTGCAACAGGTCTATTAGACTCAACAAATAACAGCACAATCACATGGGACCCAAACACCCAGTCATGCCAAACCACAAACCAACTATAGCAGTGGTTCTCAAACGGGGGTACGTGAAGCCCTGCCTCATAAGTCAAGCCCAGCAATATTTTTTTTTTTTTTTAGATCAACAAGAAATGCTTTTTCTCATGTGTATGTCAAAATTCACAGGGTCTTTTATGTTATCCCTAAAACAACTTGAAGGCCAAAGCCCAGGCGCTAAGACACACTCCTCTTAAGGGGGGAGGCTGGTCTTTAACTTTTTGTTTTTTATTTTTCATTTATCGTGCTGAAATTTAGTATAGTGATGTATTTCTCAGTGGTGATTTCAAATATGCAATTAGTTTTCAGATAGCTTTACTAGATCTTGAGTTACCAATAAATTTGTCATTTTAATTAGGTCCTCTTTACGGGTCGTTAGCGTAAACGTTTTCAGAATATATAAAAAATGTTTATAGAATTGCATTCACCAAGACATGTTTTGTGCGGTGATGCTATTTTTGCTGCTTTATATATCATACAATAATTTTAATTAATTCGTCTCAAAAAGAAATAACTTCCCGTTTTATGCAACTTGATTGCAAATGTTTTTTTACCGATGAAATATCATTAAATCAGTCTTAAAATAGCATCACCGCACAAAACATATCTTGGTGAATGCAATTCTATAAAAATTTCTGATATATTTTGACCAATTTTACGGTAACAACCCGTAAGGAGGACCTAATTAAAATTTAAAAATTTATAAATAACTCAAGATCTAGTAGAGCTATCTCAAAACAAATTGCATATTTGAAATCACCAGAGAGAAATACACCAGTATACTAAATTCCAGCACAATAAATTAAATACAAAAAACCAAACGTTAAAGACCAGCCTCCCCCCTTAATGTGCTGAGTCATCATTCTTAATGTGCAGTCATCCCTCTCAATGTGCTGAGTCATCATCTTAATTTGCTTAGTCATCCACTTAATTTGCTTCCTCTGAATTCACTTTAATTCCGCTCCATTAGCTTTGTTGTCCTTCTTAATTAGCTTTGATTACACCTTACCATCTCTCTAATTCACTTTAATTCACTTTGATTCCTCTCCCCCCCCTCCAATTCACTTTATAGTCCTTCTTAATTCCCATTGATTACTCTTACTTCTCTTTAATTCCTCTTAATTTACTTTGATTCCTCTTAATTTGCTTTGTCATCCTTCTTAATTTCATTGCCTCCAATTCGCCTGAGTGGTCACAAATGTTTTTGGTACCTTTCGTATCGCCGACGTGTTTTCGCTCAAGGACTTTGAAGGTCGACTAAACGATGAGACACACAAGGCTTTCGCCTTAATAAGAAAAATCTACTTCACACTAGCCCTTATCCATTTATTAAACTATTATTATTAAACAGTTATTATTATCATCAAGTCATCTTGGTTGCCCTACCAACGTAGTGCAGCACCTCCAAACTCTCAACTCGACGTTTCCAAGAACAAGAAGATATTGGAACTTATTTAAAGGCCAAACCCCGAGGACGACACAACATACCTTTTGTCCCCCGGGGTTTTGTCTTGAAATATGTTCAAATATCAGCAGCTAGTTTACGCCCTAACTTTTGGTTCCTTTATCAGAATTGGGATAGACCACCGATCTCTATTGTAGTAGGCTGGATCGCGGACCGCGGCCTCAGCAGCCGGGGCCGGGTGTCGCCACCAGTGGCCATTGATTGACACCACCAAATGCATGGGACTCTATGGGAAAACAAGAAAAAGTGCCGTTTCCTCGTTTCTAAGCTGTTGTCGGCGCTGAAACGTTTTGGCTGCTTTTCGAGAAGCCCGTCAAATAGCTTGCGTAGAAACATTAAAACTGACAGCCTTCGCAGTTCTTATAAATAAATATTTTGTGGTTGAGAGTGACTCCGCTGGGTGAAAGATGTAGTGCAGCTCAATGAGGCGAGAGTTACCTAGAGTTACCGCGGAGTCGATAGCAGTTTTGTTGAGTTGGGTTTAGCAGACAACAACCTCGAAGGCTTTGCTACGCGGAATTCGCTCACTCCCAGAAAGCCGCTGTCGAGATGGAACTTCTTTGTCATTTACCAACTTCTGGGCTTCCCCGAGGATGGCCTCATTGACGGCAAGTTCCTTTGTTTACCCCACTACGAGAGCAAGCTTGCCAGCTCAGCCGTAGGTGCTCCGGTACGTTTGATTTTTTCATCGGCGTTCTAACGTTTGACAAATACCGATTCGATCTCTAAACACCTGACATAAGAATCGCAGCACATCAAAAAATACTCGCCTCCGAGCACAGCGTACATGCTTCAATATTCTTACTTTTGTGCGTTTCTCGCATAGACTTGCGTGTATTGTCTGCGATCCAGCCCACTACAATAGAGATCAGTGGCCCAGACCATTGTAACCCTCTCAAACACCGCTCGCCATTTATCCTCGAAAAAATTTTCTTCACGAACTTTGGTTGCCAGACATAAAGTATACAATTGTGCTAAAATTGTTAAAATGACTCAAATACAATATATTTCCCAAAACAGCGAGGGTTTTAGATGTACCCATTTGTGTACATAGCGTTTGAAAGGGACTTTTTAAACAAAGCTCTACACAGAAAGCACCTGATCAACGGACCCTCCGCATTGAAGAGCACGCCGGACACTAACCCAGAGTTTGATCTTATAAGAGAATATGTTAGAAAGCTTGAGGTTCTTGGTAATGATTTTCAGTCCCAGTTCGAACATATGAATTCTAATCCTGTTTCATGCTTTCGATCAACCTTTTTACGGCGAATAGATGAATGACGACTGTACACTTCACCAGCTGTAGGAGCATTCCAAGTGAAAGACAGAGGAAACTTGGAAATTCTGGTGCCAACTCAAGCTTATGGGCTAGAACTGATACTGAAGTCACTGCTGTGAACCAATCTTTCCCACAATGAAGGTGGTGAAAGCATAACAGCTGCTCTAGACTGCAGCCACTTTTATTCATTAATTTGAGCCCAATTTCAAGGCACTCGTTTCACAATTGCATATGAATAAACAGAATGAGCAACTACTACATCAGTGGATTACCGTGAAATACCGCAGAAGCGCCCACTATTACCACTTCGTAAATTTGGGAATTTTGCTAATTATACGTTAAGCGCCCGATTTGACCGGACAAGCGTCCGTCCATGTTTCAGTTAACCCAGTTTGCAGTGAGAGAAGGGTGAGCGTGCACCCCCCCCCCCCCCCCCCCCCCCCAGTATTTTACGGCAAATCAATGTGGCAACCATCTGAGATGAATTGTAATGTCCCCTCCAATCACCAGACTAGTTCAGACTACTTCATTGAAAAGGGGAGTGAAAGAGGCAGAAAGGAAAATGTCAGAGGGAAGAATGCAAGCAAAATCAGTCTTAACATTGCACAGGTCACAAAAACAGAACATAAGAAAGGAAAATATGTACGACACTTCACAGACAGGGAAGTTCTTTGCTGTTCGAGGCAAGAATGGGAGTGTTAAGGACAAAGATTTAGAAAGCTAGACTTCAAGGGACAGACCCATTATGCACCGTATGTCATAGTAGGAGCGACATACAAAAACATTTGGTTTTAAATTGCACAGGGCTTGGCCCTGCCCTTCCTGAAGGGGTAACAAATTTTGTGGGGGAACTGGTTTTGCTGGCGAGGATGGAAGAACGAAGGAGAGAAGGAATACAGTCACAAAGAAGAGGTTAGAAGATTGGTAGAGATTATCTAGGAAGAATTGAATGATATACAACTAACTAGCACAGCTGGGGACAGGCAGGAGAAAAATTGGGACTCCCTCCTGCATGGGTCTGTCTCAACCCTGTCTCCCAGTGGACCCGTCGTTGGGGTAATGCCAAGAAGGTTTGACCAGAGGAGAATTGGCAACTCCCTTGTCGGCAGGGGGAGATTTTTTTTGCCAGATTTTTTAGAGGTCATTTTGGCAATTTCCCACACTGCCTGATGATGGCTACAGAAATGCAGAGGGGAAGGAAAATTTCACTTAGAAGGACAAGAGAAGGAATCATGCTTGTTTTGTTTCTAGGCAAAGTGGTTCAAGCTACTGCCAATTATTAAGGGTACAGCCATTAGCATCCATCATCCATCCAACCCCTTAGAAGCCAAGCAGAGATTAAAAATAAGATATTGGCCAAAAAAAAAAGGAGGACAACTTACATCTGGCGGGTCCAGCGGTTTCTCCTCCTCAGCTTTGTCAGGCTTCTCTTCTTTTTCTTCCACCTTTTTCTTCTTCAATGCTGGTTCAGGGTCTGCCCATAGATGGTCTGCATGGGTGGGACAATGGCGGTCTAAACGACAAGTCTACCCTACTATTTATTAGAATGTCTCTCTCTCTGATGGTCTGCGCAGTGTAGTTGATAATCTTATACTCTGTCTCAGAAACATCTGCAGTGTTAACAAAGGAACAAACATCAGAGCATGGCTTTGAAAAGTGTCCTCTATATACAAGTGCTCGTACAAAGTGTTCTACAGAGCAAAGCTCATGCACCTGTGCTTTCACTGTACATATTTATGCGATGGGGCCTATAGGCAATTCCTCCCGATACATGAATAGTACACACTTTGGCCAACGAATGGCATAACAAATATGTTTATTCGCTCGGGGTATATAAATACCCCCAGTACCTAAGGGGTATTTATTTACGAGGGTACAGGGCACATCGGTAAGCAGGAAAGCTATGCAATACGCAAGGGCAACGTAAGTACAGTTGTAATGGCCACACGGGAAAAATGGCAGGAGGGTTTTCTGATCGGAGATGTCTTATCTGCAGTTCAATGAATGCAGCTGCGCCAATTGTGCCATTTTCATACACACGCAATATTCTGCGCCTGGTTGGGCCAAAAACATTCAATCGTCCAAAATTGCACCAAACTGCACCAAAATACCTCGAAACCTACTGAAATGCGTGAGGCCGCTAGATTTAGCCAAAAATAAAAATTTCTTTGGCAACCTTTAGTTGCTGGCGTTTTAGGCTAGGTGGCACAAGTTACCGCCCGTGTAAAAGAGGGTAGAGCTGCCATCCATGTCATCAATAATACAGCTTTTTTTTTTTCTTTCTTTCTTTTTTAATTGCCCCTTGCATTCGTTTGTCTTGAGTGAACTTCGAAACTTCTGTTGTCCGCAACTACTTTCGGGCTGAAGCTACTGATCTTGATGGTCTTGGCACACTCAAGATGAGCAAACACAAGTTTTTCTTTATTCCAAAGTGTAAAACTTTTGTAAAGCTACTGTTAAATTTTGCTATTTGCCAAGATGACAGCACCACTGCCTAAGAACTTTATTATGAAAATGTGCTACAATCTTTCATATTGGGTAAGGTGACCGAGTTCACTGTGGCGTGCACAAGCTGCTCACAACTTTCCTGCAAATTTTTCTTTTTCCTAATTTATTTATTTAATGCGTTTTTGTAGCAACACGTGTTTTACTTTCGGTTTCGCAACAATGCATGTTTTTCTTTCGGTTTTGCAGCGACAAGTGTTTTTACCTAGGACTGCTGCGGTGTGAAACTGACACAGTGAACCAGAATTAAAGTGCTCCAAAGTATGTTTTTATTGTGCTTTAGTGCTCCAAAATGCAGGTTTTTCTGCTCCTAATTTGCTCCAAAAAGTAGGTTTTCCACTCGCAAGCGGCTCTAAAAGCCGTTGTCCTTGTCACTGCCTCGCCATTGGGGAGAGGGTTTCCTATACCTCTTGCCACCCCAACAAAAGCTTCACTGTGCACCAAACTGCGCCAAAATGCGTGAGGCCGCTAGATTTAGCCAAAAATATATATATATATTTTTTTTAATTTATAAGTGTGCGTGTTCTAACCCTAACGTTCAAGTGCTCAACTGAGCGAGCGAGTGCCAGGATGGCTCTCCAAAGACGCCTACCTCGATGGGAGGACACGCTCGCACAGAACGTCGGCAAACTGAGTGTGCAGCTCCGAGACTTTATACAAAATTAATGACTACCTCGTGCGTAAAGCAAGACTTGTTCCAGTTTGCGACCAAACGTGCGCCTAGTGTTGAAAACATACACGCAGCACACGCAGTGCAACCTATTTTACTATTTAACTGTTCATAAATTTCTCATTTAGATATGTGTCCCAGTCGACAGCAATGACAATATGTGTGTGTGCACACACACACACACACACACACACAAAAAAAAAAAAACCAGCCCAGGAACGTTTTGACTGGGCTCTTTAAAGTATGTCTCGATTTTGAATGCGTTGTTGCATATTGCAAAATTTAGATGCCGTGCCTCCCTTTAATGGCAAATTTGTGAGTTATTGATGTAAAAGGCTAGTAACTAGCAACCGTTTTTAGACCCCTATGCGCTTCGACGGTAGTCATATGTGCTAGTCCTACAGCCCTCAATCCAAAAAGGCAATTTTGAACTACAGGTCTGCCCACTCTAAGGTGATCAAGAGGGGCATAGCACACTCGTGTCTGGAGGCAGCCCTAAACAAGCTGTGCTTCCACACTGTCGGTGATAGCTCTCGGGTGAAGTGTGGTAGACTGAAAAATGCTGGGATCCCGTCGGCCCTGATAAGTGGAGTTGCCAGTACACTTGTTAAGAAGGTTAAGGGTGTTTGTTTATCTAAGAAAAGTGTTGACAGAAGGAGTACTGTTGTCATTCCCTACCCGCACAAGGTATCTTATAATATGAAAAAAAGTAGGAGGCCGGCATCCCAGTTGTGTTTTCTGCCTCCCAGAGAATGAGCCAAATTTGTTCGAGGGTCAACTCGAAGGCAGAATGGCTACCAAAAAATGGATGCAGCAAAAGGCATGCCAAACCCTTTGTGCCTTTTGGCTGTTGTATCCAGGAACATGCAGCTATCGCACACTCAACCAGCCTTGGGGACATCTAGCTCAATGAATAAGAGGATGGGCATCCCGTGAGCCCCGAGTATGCCCATGCAGCCAAAACGTTAATTCCAAAGAGATGCTCTGCTCTTCGCATCCTGTCAGTGACTACTGACAATTGGAGAGGGAGCTCCTTGATCATGGAGGTCAGGACTCAAGTGTACAAAGCTAAACATCAGGACAGAGATGTGTCAAACATATTGAGAGGAGGAGATACTCTTTTGTAAAGGGCTTCACCCTGCAGTAAGGCAAAAGGGACATAGCCAAGGCATTCGGTTTTAAGGACAGTGAGAGAAAAGAGGACATTGGGAAGGATTTTCACATTGGAGGGTGACAAGGTGCGCAAGTGTGCAAATACGGCGGCACAGACGCCCGATTCAGAGAGTCCTATCCATCCATCCTTTGCTCAAAACAATGCCTGTTACCAACGTGGCTAAAGCTCATTGCCAGTCACAAAATGCAAACCTTACCTCCGTCAACAGGCACCTCCTTGACAGTTTCAGGCACCTTGTCGGACAAGTACTGCCCGAAGTCTGAGATTTGGGCCGCATCAAACACACAGCGCTCTTTCCAGACACTCAGGATGCGCCGCAGGCCCGCATGCGTCTTCTGGTCCGTGTCCCTCCTGAGACGCCACCAGTACGAGTCACTCACAGGCACAGTTGACGCCAGTGGTGGAACCAGGGGGGAGGCTTATGGTGTCCCCCCCCCCCCCCCCCCCTCAACATTTCAAGTTATGGACGTCGCAGCCACCTCCAACCTCTCCCCCTTCCCAGAAAAAATTCCTGGATACATTTTTTTTTTTTTTTTTTTGGGTCTAGACCAGGGGTGGCCAAGCTACGGCTCGCGAGCCGCATGTGGCTCTTTGCGTGCTAAAGTGCGGCTCGCGGCTGCCCCCCCCCCTTACTCCCCTCCCCTCCCCTCTCTCTCTCTTCCCCCCTCCTCCCTCGCCTCCCTTCCGACCACTCGAGCACTTCCCCAAAAAGAGAAATAAAACTCGTTTCAAATCGAAAGACAGGTTGCGGTTAGGTAGTCTTGTGCTACTGCTATTTACAGCCTTTATCCTGAAACAAATCCTGAAGCATCACTGGTACACTTCCTAGAGGCCACAAAGCAAGAATTTTACGTGGCACACAGCCTGTACCAAAGGAATTCTGGGGCAAAACAGATAGCTGCTGGCAGAAAATACAAACAGGAAAAACTATGTGAGAGTTTAAAAAACGAAGCTTTTGCACCTAGGCAGTTCAAGCATTATTCCTAAGGAGCGAGTTCAATGGATGTTATTGCATACAGTAACAAACCTTTCTCTGTATACAGCCAAGGTATGTCACACTGCTGCATGCTTCATGAATCGAAAAGCTAAAAGAAATAGTGGCGAAAAAAGCTGACCATCCCAAGAAAGAAAATTTCATACATCCTGCCTCCCACAGAGAGGATCAGAACTTAAAATTCACTGTGTTTTCCCACTAGGGAATGTCAGAGTTGTTAAACTGCTGGGAAAAGCAAAGCAGTCTACCCCAGGGCCAGGGGAGGGACTTATGATGCTTCAGCCAGCCGAAATAAAGCCGACCCTATCCGCAAGCCTGTGCTTGTTGGCAACATGTACAATGCTCATCCTGTGTACAATGTGCCGGTCATTCCATCGAAGATATAACAAATTTTGCTCCGGTAGTTACAGGACACCACCTTTTTTTGCCTTCTCCCATCAGAAAAACTTCAACTCAGATGGGAATCCCCAACATTCTTTTCATGCAGTGCCACAAGCCAATGACTCGTGCTCCAGGTAGAGAAAGAGGGACCCTGAGGTGTAGAAGTTGTCCATATAAATAATATAAGCTTGGTCAAAGTATCTTACACAGAACCGTGTTACCACATCAAAGGCTAATTCGCACTTGCCCGTGTATACGCTGAAGTGAGCAGTATGCGGAGTGCAAGTTCGTCCACTTTAGCCAAGATTGAAGGATAGTGGGTAGACTTCAAGGCAGCTTGCTTTGAGGTCTACCCACTATCCTTCAACCAGAGCCAATCAGAACTCTGCGTTCTGACGTCACCACAACCCCCGCAAAAGAAGCGGACAAACTTGTGCTCCGCATAACCCATTTGAGAGCCAGCAAACGCCCAAAGCTTGTAGCCCCATTTTGTGACTTGGTCAAGATATTGTAGAATTAAAGAACAGGCTTTTGATTTGACTTGTCTACGGAGAGGTTTCGGTGCAGCTGGAAAAATCTTGCTGAGCAGTCATTGACAAGTTTCAGCAGCTAGCAGACATTGCACAACTTTCTAACTTCCCATAGCACCATCTTCTTGAAGCGCCATCTCCTCGGCTTCACGTCTGGCTATAATAAATCACTACCTGACGAGTTAAAAAATAACTAAACAGAAACTGAAACTAAGGTGTCTAATCAAACATGCAGATGCATTGAAGACAAGCCCCAAACCGGCCAGACTTGCACGCGAGACTAGCAAAGAAAATGAAAACCAAAATCGAAACCAAAACAAAGTTATCAATGTTCTGGGCTGATTTGACGAATTATCTGATGGTCCGACTTGTGCTAGTGTCGTCAGCAAATCGAGTGCAGGCATACTCGAATCGCGAGACTTGAAACGTTTCCGAAGAGGCACGCCACACGACGGAGACACCATGTTCGCAACACGGAGCGCTCTTCCTTTGATCATGATAAATTACCACCTCATGGGAAAAAAAAAAACTCTAATCTAACCACCAGACGTCGTCACTTGTCCAGAAAAGCATCGGAGACTTTGCAATGGGGCTCGCAAATCATCAATCTCGGGCGATTGATTTGAACGGGCATAGTACGGAAAGAGTTAACATTCATAAAACATTCCACGGTCCTTTTAATAGTGCCATTACAAGCAGACCATCCATGCATCCATTGTTCATTATTTCTGGTGCTAGAAAGGTCAGTAAGGCTTTACAGAATCTGATTTCACACAGAAACAGCCATGGTGGGAAATGCACAACTGCTTACAGAAAAAAGTAGACCTACACAGATATGTGGGCAAATGCCTTGGCCAAGACGGTTGCAAATTCCCTGGTGAACTCCGGACCTTTCTTCTTGCTGTTCTGGATGACGTCATTGGCGAGGTACATGAAGGTGAGTTTCCGCTGAGGCTTGGCTAGAGAAAAGCACACCAAAAACTGTGAACACTGGAACTCGCTGAGCTCAACAGGAGCGAGCCCAAATGTGCACATCAATGCCTGTCCACTTTTCGAGGCCAACAATCAAGTTCAGCAAAAAATCAAGGAAGAACCCTTCAGCGCTATATCTATCGGCATCTTTCAACACACTTGGTTCCAAATGCATTTTTCGCTTTCTAACAGTTCAGACAGGATTTTGATTACCCAGACTTGTATGTAGTGTGTTATGAGTGGTAGGGTTCCGTGTTTTCTGAGTTTATTTTTCCTCAAATTCGGATGGGGTTTTTCAGAGTTCATTTTTCGCCAAAAATTCAGAGTTTATTTTTTATAATTCTAAATTCTCCGAAATTCAGAGTTAAAATTTGCAGCATCTCCTACTTTTCAAAAATACAAATAAATATTATCCGGGTGTAAACACCTGCTAAACTCAAATGAATGTGCTTGTAAATATAAATTATATTTCTTAAAATAATGATATAAATAAATAATATATATAATATTTCTTCAGCTGGATTTGGCCTTAGTGCTCTTAGCATTGGCGATACTCATCTGTCCCACGACAAAGCTTCCAACCAAGTGTTGCTTTGATACTCGAAGCTGGTAAACTTTAACCACGCCAGAAAGTTAACCGCATTTCCCTACGAAGGGGAATTTCGAGTCACGTGACTGGCAGAGTAGGGACGGCGGGGAAACATGGCGGTGCTACCTCCAGCGAGCGTCATTTGCTTTGGGACTAATACGTCACAGTCGCTGCACTATCGGTCACGTTCGTCAGCAATGAATGGAGACTTTCGCTTTGCCTTACCTCATTTAAAGGGTAGCTGCAAAGAAAAAAAAGTGTATTTTTAAACAGCCTAATTGGGACAAGCATTTCACAAAATAATTTTTCCAACAAAAACAAAATTTTTTACAGCAATATTTATCGCGCGGGACTGATTTTAGTTTGCGGCTATTTCATCCGTTTTAAATCGCGCGCCACAAAGTTGGTATTATACGTCACGGAGTGGCTGCTTGCTATACGCCACAGAGAGGCTGCTCTACGTCACTTTGTGACGTATTCCAGCCACTCCACGCACGTCGAAAAAGCGGGAGTTTCAAATGTGGAGAGGTTGTGACTCTGACTAAATTACGTCCTGTGGTGTAAGTATTGCTAAAAAAAAATTTTTTTTTTTCGCGGAAGATTTGTTTTGTGACATGTTTAAAAAAGCACTTTTTTTTCTTTGCAGTTACGCTTCAAGGAGCTGTGCAACAATTTCAGTGCTTTGCTTAAATAATTTGGGAGTTGGTGTCTCGACCTTTCTGAAGTAAAGCACAAAAAAACACTTTTGCCTGCCTGTCCTAGTTTTTATTTTAAAAATGGACAAAGATTGAGGTTTTCGGCTCCTCTCAACTCCTGCACCATCTTGCGAGGCACGTGCACTGTGACGTCAATAGGGGTCGTGCGGGGTTCCGGTGAAGCTCTCTCTCTAGAGCCATCAGTGAGCAGCAAGAACTCATCCCCGCGTGACGACGTGCTGGCGGGCGCAGCGTGAGCAATATGGTGAAAGGAGGAAGGTCTCATCCGGGTCCCATACCCGTCCGGCTCTGTCCCCTTCCCCCTCCGGCTTCTGGCGGCTGTTCGCGGTAGCAGATAAAGCTGACGGCTTTGTTGGCTTCGGATAGATGCGGCCACTAAAACTCCGTATAATAAAAGTTTTGTCGATAATACCAGGTTTTTGACGCATTTATATTTATGTTGGAACGACAAGATTTATAGAAAAGTTACCTTTTATCGAGCCGGTATCGGACGTGTTGTGATTATGAATACTTAAAATAGAAAGAATAAAAACACGGAGGACTTTCACAGGCAACTATACACTCTTTCATGCTTCATGCTGGTAATCATAGTAACCATACTCTTTATGCTTCATGCTGGTAATTATAGTAACCACACTCTTTCATAGGGTGTGGCTACTATAATTATCAGCATGAAGCATGAAAGAGTGTGGTTGTCTGTGAAAGTTCGTGTTTTTATTCTGTCTATTTTAAGTATCCCCTTAACACATTTTTTTATGATTTACAGTTGTTAGATGGCTGAAAACTGTGGATTGGTTTATTATTTTACAGTGCCATAAGCCTAATTTGAAGACAATGATGCTTATCCAACTGGTGCCGAAAATATGAAGCGCAAGCATCAATGAGGCCCAAGCGACACTTCTGCTCTGAAAACAAAACTGAATAGTTTTAAGGCTCTCGTATGCAAGCGGCTATCTCCTAATGCCAGTTTTATGCAATGCTCGTACAATAGGATCCTCGAAGCCTACAGGCAGCAAACCACGTAAGAATTTTTTTGTTTAATAAACTTGGTTTTATCACATTTTTTTTAATCTAGTAGTCTGGCAACAGCGCCATTTAGTGAAGATACGCAAATAGTTGACGAGAAAAAAGAAGTTTGGTGCACTCGGACTGAGAACGGCAGAACGTAGAAAAATGCGGTGTTTTTCTCTTGCCAATCGCAAATATTTTACGACCACTCTACTTGAGGCTATCATATGCGCAGATATTATTTGCATTTTATAGTGATTCATAGAGGTTATGCAAGAGAGTCAATTTCTGACTTTTGCCTGGTGTTGCCCACAGTTTACCTTGCAATTTCTTTTTTTTTAAATTTCAGCTCTGTTCTTTCATTTGATCTTGTTAAACATTACATCTTTAAAAATAAATGTTTTAAACATTCTCTTAATTACCAGGCAACTTTGCGACTGTAAACAATTTATATTTCACAGATGTTTTGCAAATAGAAAACTATTGCAAAACATTTACCATGCGATAAAGTCAACCATTGTTTTGCTCAACTCAGAGACACAAACGTAAAAACAAGCTTCTTACAATTGTCAACCTACAATTCAGACAATAATGTGAATAGGGATAAACCCTACAGCAAACAAAATTGTTCCCGAACAGTTGCCAGATGAAACATCAAGCACATAGTACTGTAAACAGCCTCATTTTCACAAGTTAAACATTTTGTGAATTTTGAGGAATATTTTGCAAGCACCAAATTTTGTGCTTTGGAGTGTTATGCTATGTATTTGTTACAATGGAGTGATATATTCATTAGATCAATTTTTTCAGATACTTTTCAAGTACCAAAACTTGCAAAATTAGGATTTTGAGAAAATTAAGTCGTTTGCAAAAACTTACAAAGGCCACAAGGGCCACAAGAGTGTTTTTATTCTGTTGTCTTGCATATGTCGTCACTCAGTGACAGGGCTCTTTCCATTGTGCACATTATTATTATACAAGGCACGTTTAAAGAACTTGGTCTACATTACCGAACATAAATGCTTTGTTCTACTATTTACTTGCTGCAGTCACCATGTTTTCAGGTTGTGTTGGGACATGCGCGGCCAACCTCGTGTATGGCAGCAGTGTTGAAGCGGGCAGAAGCAGACTATGTGCCAATGATTTTCACTGTTGAACATTGTTGCCGGCAGAGGCACTGACAAACCCCGGCACCTCCTAGCCACGTGTTCGGGGTGAATAGCCATGCTTCCTGCAGCAATCGACGACCCTGCTTTATTCTGAACAGTTTCCCGTCACATGCGGCAGAAAAAAACTAGCTATGATCGGTCAACCTTTCATCCTTATTTATGCTTTTCTGGATCCTTCTACCTTGCATAGCTTCACACAGTTATAGTAAGGGCACACATCAATGTGAGGCTCATTGCCATCTTCTAAACAAGGCCCTCTAATTCTCACAATGCCCAGTGCAGGACATTGTGAAAAGTTGAACAGTACAAACTCCCCTTGACAAAGATATCTCGAACCAGAATACAAAGGGTTTGAACTTGGTCCTTCCTTTTTTTTTTTTTTTTTCCTTCTATATCCCGGCATAGCCTCTGGCTATTGTCTACTAATATTTGGGTTGCACGTTTTCGTTCCAATGCGCTGCATTGGACAACTTCAATGAATGCAGCTTGCAGAATCTGGATGCAATCACCCAAGAAAGGACCACTTCTAGACAAAGCTGATTAAAAAAAAGAAGTGCACGGCGGTTAGTGCTGCCTCACCACAATGATGCCCGTCCCGACGTCTCTACTGCTACACACAAATCATTGTGGCAGCTACCAGCCTTCAGAAAGTACTTGCACATCAATGGGAACACATACATATATATTTTTGCATCTATATTTCTGTGTGCAGGCATTACAGATGCTTACAATCCCCACAACAGTAATCCGTTCGTGTTTCTTCTCATCAATATGGTAATGGCGTGGACATAGCATCTCTGCGAATAAGTTAAAAAAAGTGAGGAAGAGTTGACTATGCATGACTCCTGAAAGGCAGCAACCGTCTCAGAGCAATGACGCCTTAGAGTAACGAAAAGGGAATCTGCGACTTTGAGTTACAGTAATGCGTTCCTTTCACACCTCAGTAACGACTAAAATACTTAACGACAATACAATGGAGTGGTGCAAGTTTACTATTTTGTTGAAGTACCCGACACTGAGTGGAGATATGTGAAGCAACCAAAGTAGAAGGAACTGGGAGAGAATGACACAAGACAATGTCTCAAACTCAGCTCTCAAGTTGGCACATGGGTAGTTTAGCCTCATATTGCACTACAAGAAACTTTGTCCAAATTACGATCTAAAAACATGCTTGTCGTGTAAGGCTTGTCAAAATATTAGGCGCTGGAAAAAATCAGCCACCTGTTTATTTCCTTTTTGTTCACGTTCCATCCATTGAAAAGCACGATAAAAGAGCCCAAGTACGCACTCGCCACCCCGCCGTCTTCTTCCGCAAGACCATCTCCTATCAGCCTTTTCATACGCTCCTATCTACTAGGGGGGGGTACGACATCACATTGTCAGTGAACATGTGAGGCCCAACACGAGCACTTTGTCAAACCAGAACTGCATTCCAAAAACCAACGGCGATCGAACATATAGTGTCGCTGGGCTCAAATAAACCTGGTGAGTCTCCAACCGGTGTGTCCTATGCTGCATCAAAAGTGGTCCCCAATTGGCAACAAATGACACAAGCCGACGCCGTCGGATGTCGCCATCCTGGCGGTTGGTTGCACAAATGGTGGCGAAAAGCACGAGCCAATGCGTGTCGTCGTCTGGCTGGCCCGTGGACACTGGAGAGCGACCTGCAGCAGAACAGGCGTCTGCTGCATGCACCAGGATGGCAGCCGGCGACAGCATGACACTTGCATGTGCCAAGCGCAGCGTCTCAAGCCAACAACGGCAGATGCCATTTCCGAATGCCGTCTGCTAATGTGAACGCCGCAACGCTAGCCAAAGCCGGACACGCCATTGTGGAGGTCGATGCTCAGAGCAGAAAGTGGTCGCCTGGCTAACCCTTGGCAGCTTCGACGAGGCTTGATCCATGCTCGGGCCCCAGATTACACTCGGGTCAAAAGTTTTCAATTTCAGATTACACTTTTCAGCTCAGGCACTGTCCTTGCATTATAACGTATCATTCTTTTTCTTTTCCATATTGTATGTAGTTTTCTAAATATCACGGTTCAAAGTTTGGTCTCGGGTGTCTACGGTAAAACCAAAACTACCGTCAAATACTGGGGGAGCACCCACCCCACTTTCAGTGCAAACTGGGTTAATTTAGACATGGGTGCTTGTCCAGTCAAATCGGGCACTTGATGGATAATTTGCAGATTTCCTAAGTTCGGGAAATGTTAATAGTGGGCACTGGAATGAAGTGAGTAGGCGCTTCCCAAGTATTTTACGGTATCAGCAAAAGGTATGGCAAACACTGATCATCGGCCGTATGGCTGCGACGTTATGTCACCGAGGTACTGTGGTACAACATGCGAAATCAACCACACCTCCACCGCACCCTGACGTCACGGGGGTGCTGCGGCCGCCCAGTGTTCCTTGACCAAAAGCTTGCCCCCCGCTAAAGAGCAGCTGGTCGCATCTTTACAATCGGTTTTAGCGGAGTATGCGGCTTCACTCTGATGTATTATTTAGGTTGTTATTATATTTCGTGCCCCCAGTCATTTATTTTGGTTTCCTTTTCGACCGAAGTTGCCCTTTAAAGCTTCCTCGTGTGAAGCAAGGGGTGACAGCGCGGTCTGTTTGGCAGCCCAGCTTGGCGCCCAAGCTAGCGTTGCTGCCTTGGTAGCAAACGGCATTCAGAAGATTGTGCGGCTGTAGCTGGCTTCAAGCTCTGTGTTTGCATCTATTGACATTTGGTGACCATAGCACACAGAATTTATCGTGCAGAAGGAGACGGTGGTGAAGCGAGATCCGGTGCATGCTTAGACTCTTTTGCCACGCTTTTTTTCAATGGGTGGACCGGGAACAAAAAGAGTTTGAAATAAGGACTTAACACAGATAACTGTTTTTCTCCAGTGCCTAATATTCTTGACGAGCCTTACAAGAAAAGCATGTTTTTTTAGCCATCAAACGGCTGCCTTCTTTAAGACACGTGTGAATATGAGTGAGCTGAATTTGAGACATTGTCCCCTGTCGTTCTTTACCCGTTTCTTCTCTTTAGGTTGCTTCATGTATCTTCACTCAGTCTCGGGTGTTTTAACAAAATGGTTAACATACACTTTTTGAGTCAGTAATGGGCTACCTTTCTTTTTAGCAAGGCATAAATGTCAGCGATAACATCATTCCGCTTTACAACAGCGTGCGGGAGGTAAATATTGGGCTCTTCTGAGTTACCCAGCGCAGCGTTTCCAAGCTGCGCACCTTCGCGAAAAAAAAAAAAAAAAAAAAAAATTAAAAGCGCAACTTCTCCGGAAGGAAAGGAGTCGGCCAGCGTCTCGACTCTGGCGAAACGCCGAGGTCCAGACCCCTGAACAAAGGAGCGTCGAAATGATACCACAGGAGGGTCACACGAGGCGATCGCGCTAGGCTTTTTCGCTCCCTTGCAACGCCTCTTCTATGTCGCCTCAGCATGTCTGCGTGTCTGGACGAGCCCCACAGCCGTTAGGACGACCTCCTCCAAATCACCATCGACCTCCGATCAAACCATCTTATCCCATTCATGCGGTTCGTTTCAGACAAAAGAATGTCAGCCGACTACGCAGATTCAAGCCCTCATTAGGCAAGTGGTTACTACAAACAGAGGAACGAACGCATTTCGAACGTGTGGGGAAAACGCAGAAAACGCTCACCTTTCTTAAGCTCTCGCAGCCAGACATGGACAATGGTTTTGTGATGCTTTCGGTGATGAATCAGCCAAAGCGAAAGCGTTTGAATACTTTGTTGCGAGTTATTAAGTTCAGCCAACTTTCGTTCCAAGGCAGCTTCAGTGAAGCCAGACATCTCTGATGTTTACGCACGCCTTCTGTCCACAACGTTACACATTTCGGGGACTTCCACTATGCACTAAGTGGCCATTTTGTTCCCTAGCTTAAGAAGCCTTGCTACCAAGCTCATTTCATTACACATCTTTTAAATTGACGACTGGCGCCACTAGCCTATTACTAATTACTACAAATTGCCATAAATAGATGACTTTGTCGTTGTAACCACATTATAATAACTCTATAGTTGCAACGTTGTGTTGTATGTAGTGTGCTATCTACGTAAGACAGAGGAAGCACTCAATTTTTCGATTCCACAGGTCTACACAAATCAAGTGGCAGCTATCATCCTTGTTCTTTTTTTATCTTAAAGAAATATGGTTTATATATGTTATGATCTCTAAAAAAGATAGAACTACTACGAAGCTATAAATAAACTTAACAATTGCCGATAAAAAAAAATATATATATATATATATATTTTTCTTAATAAATCATATGCGAAACGTAGAGTGCCATCAAGTAGCGCGCCGACCTCTAGTTACCCGCCTGCCCGTACCCCTCGTTGTGCGTACCTATAAAAACAAATGAAATTCTGTGGATTCGTTGGTTTACAATATCAGTTTTATCTCGATGCTGTCACTGTTGTGACTTCACAGAGGCTCTAGCGACTGTGGCGAGTTGTTAGCACCGTTGGCACCCGCTTGGTCACTGCAGCGCGAGTGAAGCCACCAGACGGCCATCTTGCATGTGACGAAATCGCGTTTTCGCTAGCGTTGCGGAGCCTGACGGCAGCGTGGTTAAGACACGTTTTCTACTCGTTTGTGGTCATTCGCAGAAAAAGATTTTTAAGACCCTGTGTAGACGTGGAGACTTGCCGTTGTGAACACGCTGAAACTTTTACGAACGCGCAGTGCTGCAAGAAAAAGGCACAACTCGTCGAAAGTCACTTGGAAGCCAAGCCAGGTGAGACCGTCTGAACTACGGGCCAAGTGGTGGATGCAAATTTTTGGTGCTTTCCCTTGTTTTTTTTTCTTCTTTATCCACGTTATATCAATTTTTCTTTTTTTTTTTTTTTAGTAAACGCGCGTTTGCGACGTTTGTTTGTGAGCGACCGTTCTGATGCAAAGAGTTTTGGTCGTTTTGGTGCTACTGAATACTCAGTGTGAATACTACGTCCGCCATCTTGGTAGCGGCGAGAAAACGAAAGCAGTGACCCGAGCGACAAAGAAAGACCCATGTAAACAAGCAACCGCGCTTCATGCGAGATGCGATGCCAATGCGCTGCTGCGCATGCAGCGATCAACCTTCGGTTCGTGCGGCGGGCTGATAGCGTAGCGAGCTCCAAGTGGACGCGCCAGGCGTTCTGAGCCCTAAGCACAAAGGAAAAACTTTTGTGAACAATTTTTTTTTTTTTTTTTTTTAATTTGGGAGTGACAACTTTTCTTGGGGGCGGGAGAGGGACGGAAGGGGAAGTAGCTGGGACCTGCATCTGTGGCTGTGTTGCCCCCCCCTTTTTTTTTTCTTCTTTTTTTTGTCCTACGTCTCGGGTTGCATCATTTAGTAAGTTCACCAGCTCGCTAGCATCTCCTTTACAATTTCCAAGGGAACTGGTTTTCTCCTTGTCAGAAAACAATTCTGTAGGTCAGCCTTTAAATTCAGGCGTAGCCTACCCCACCAGCTGATGGGGCTAATCAGACGGCAAGGGCACCATCGTGAGAGTTTGTGCAAGCGTCCTATCAAATGCTGAATAGACCCGTTGTTCTGGGGCAGGGGGCGCAAGCGCGTTCGCAAGACGCGACCATGTTATGCTGGCTGCACCATCCGTGTGGCGCTGTGACGTTCGATGTTGCACGTGCCACATTCGAATAGAAGGTTGTTACCACGCATCTGTAGATCCGCGGTAACAAAACATATAGAAAGAAAAAAATTATACAGCTCTCGTCCCATTAAACATTCTTTTCGTCTTTGCTTTCTTTCATATCTTCCGAGAGCACGAATGTTTCACTTCACGTGATAGCGAAACCGAAGCTTTTCGCAAAAGCACGTCTTCGTGAACGACGCTCGCACTGCACGAGCGCGCGTGCTTGGCAGGGATGCTGAAAGCTAGCTGCTCGCTCTTGTAGCCTCTGCTACGCTGGCACTTAGAATGGAACGCGAAGTCTAAAAAAAACTGTAGTGGGGAAGCGCATTGCCGCAAACGCGAGCCAAATATTCGATTTTGCTCGCCTGGAACGCTGCTCAAAACTTGAGAGCTACAGGCCTATAGAAGGGGCCGCTACTTGCGCTTTTGATGCTGCTTGATGAGTTCCACTGACTCGTAGTGTCAACTGTCTGGACTTATGGAACAATTCTCCTTTCGCTAAATACTACTTAGAATCACTCCCTAAAGCTAATAACGGAATAAACTTGCCTTACATTTTATTTCTAGGCAAGGGCAGTCCCCAAAAATTTTAGAATTACGAGCATTGTTCATCCCCCCCCCCCCCCCTCCCCCCAACTCTGAACCAGAAAAAGCGGCAATGTGGCCTGGTGCCTACCCCATGCCGCCAATGTTAATCATAGCCACGCACCAGGGTCGGTAAAGTAAAAAACGCATGCCTAGCTCTAGGCATTGATAGAGTTGGTTATTCTCATCGCCACACAAGCCACTATACCCAAGTGTCCGCCCAAGGCATCGATTGTTACAATCCGAAGTCGAATCCTCGTGCAGTTCTTGTCCAATCCATGAGCCGCTCTCTCAACTGATGTCAGGTGGGTAGCTCAGTTGTGGAACTCCTGTAGAAGGGGGTTAACCCCCTCACTCGCTACGATCAGCCTCCCGTCGTTTGAAGCACCATCTATATTTCCGTTTTACAAACTGTTCCATACAGCTCTACCATACAGTATGGTGGAATGCCATCTGGATGCTGTGCTTCAAATGTAGAATACACTACAGATATCGTAGCAGCCGTCCGGCGCATCGAACGACGGCAGGAGTGTCGTGGGGGCAGAGAGGGTGTACGGCTCGTGCAAGCAGCATCTATGAACAGTTTCGCAACTTAGCTGTTCAAATAACATTGTTTTGACCCCACATTTGTCATCAAGCTTTGCGAAGGAAGGACTGAAAAAAATAATCCCCTTTTATCCTCGCAACAGACCATATGCGAAATGCACAGTGCCATCTAGTGGGGCGCCAAAGAACATGCTCCACCTCACCAGATGGCTTCGGCACTGGCAAAGGCCAGGGCACGAAAGCGTAGTCCTAAAGAATCCTTCGCTTGCAAACACACTCGCACAGAGAAAGCACTTTCGAAAACCAGGTGCCTGCGCTTGTGACTTCGGGCTTGTCAGTGCCTTCACCGGCACTTACAAGCCAAATTTCGAGCTGAAGTGTACTTCCGCCATGTTGGTTACAGCAAAAAAACCAGCGAACGGCGGGGCGACAAGCACGTGCATGCGCAAGGAAGGGCGTAAAGCAATACTAACCCTTAGCTCGCAGGTGTGCATGAGGATCGATGATGGTGAGCAGTAGGCCTCGACTGTTACCGACAACGCTACGACATTGACAACCAGCAGAGGAATCTCGACGCAAGATGGCAGCGCACGGAGTGTTACCAGACGTTCAAACAATTTCGCATATGGTCTATTTCACCGCAACAAAGAACCTTCTAAATCAGAGGCGGTCTGTGCGAGTATACTTGGGCCAGACCAGGACCAGTAGGCCTCCGCAAAGTCACGAATATTCAAACTCAATATCGTTTCATGACCCCCTTAAAGCTGAAACGCAGGTAGCAAGACAGGAGGGGCAGGAGGCATCTACCATTAAATAGCAAATGCTCCATGATTAAATTGCAAACGAGTTAGACCCATCCTTTAATCTAGGCTTTCTACTATGTAATGCAAGGAGCACCACCTGGGTGATGCTGGAGGCTCGCAATGCAAACAAACAATTACTTTTTTGGGGGGGAGTGCAATAGAAAGCATTTACATGTAGGGCACTACCCTAAACGGTAAACTATGGTGCCTCCCAACATCATTTAAAATTATAAAAAGCACATAGATTAATTGCACTAACAGTGTCGTGCAGCGTACGCTGGAGGTTCGGCTGGAGCCAGACAAATTTATTTTGGCAATGCATTTCTATGGGTGCATATTCTCCCTGTGCAAATTTCACAAATTCTAAAATAGTCAATATTTCTTAATCACGTAGACCAAGATACTTGTCAGTTGCAATTTTTTTTTTCACTTTCCCATTAAACAGTGCTACCTAACAGCTTCATAGATGCACTTGCACGTGTAAAAGCAATACATACTGGGAACAGGAACTATATCTACCTGTGCATGTAGATCCTCAAAATAAAGCCAAAGCAAATAATCTGTGCAAGTTGCAATGAACGAATCTCGTTTTATTCCCTCCGATCATGCATAGGTGGAAAGATAGTTTCATTCTCCTTCAAAACATGTCCATTTGCTCAAATATTTTGAAAACAGGCAGAAGGGAGAAAACACCGAGTGGCCTAATATGGGGGGGGGGGGGGGGGGGTTTAACTGCTTGGGGAGTGTCATCGTGGGATCATTTTCATATTAATATGGATCTGGCATAGCCTAACCAGTGTTGTAGCATTTTGAACAAACCTACGTTAAATTGTCCTTTCTGCTTAGATTTGTCACTTGTCTCTACAAACCTGCTGTGTAACATAGGTTTGGTCCTGAAAAATTGCCGATTAGAACACAGCCAACCTGAAAATATACTCCAAATGAAGCATTTGCACTTTTATAATGTTAATAAAGTTACATACTATTCGTTACAACCCAAAACAAATACAATTACTTCTATGGCAGAGACAAAACAGATGCAGGTTATTCCACAGGAATGCGCAGGTGCACTGAAAGATGAACCTCTAGCGTACACGGCGCAACAGTGTTAGTATGAAAAGGCAATCATCCCCTTAGAACCCAGTCATCAAAACTACTTGGGTAACAGGTTAAGAATGCAGTAGACGTTCGCATCGCGAGCTTTTGGCCTCATCGCACATGCGGCCAAACCCCAATGCAATGAGCACATACTGGAGGCAGAGCTTCAACTGCATTCTTAGAACTATACAACACCATTTCAGAGTAAAATGCCAAGCAGCGCTCAGGTTGTGTTTGCACTAACAGTGTTGCACAGTGTACATTATAAAAAAGTCTATGGGTGTACACAAAGAGCACAAACCTCCGCTGACATGACGCGCCTCAAACAAGCGTTCCTCTTTCAAGAGACAAGATAACCTCGATGTAGAGAAAGAACACATCTGTGCATCGCTGATCGTCCTCCTCGTGCCGCGCTTACAGGCAGCTCATCCATTGCTCATAGGTGGATTAGTAAATGTTGCGGCACTTTCTCAACATAGCATAAAGTAGATATCCAAACCTTTTCATAGCCCTTGCTAATGAAAATGCCTGGCACACAACAAGAAACCTGTCGATTCAAGCCACAAACCTATCAACAAACAACTATGACACATACGACTGGTTTGCATTCGGTGCAATCGCAAGGTCCCATATCATTTCATCACGGAAATGTGTTTCATGCATTGATGCACATCTTGTCAACACCATTTCGTCACCAACATTTTTTTCTTGTTGTTGATGGTGTATTCAATTCGCTATGTAGAAGTATACCAGGTGGCTCCGACACGGCAAAAACAAGTCGGCGAGCCCCAAACGAAGTGGGTTCGGCAGGCTTCCAAACAGGTCACCCCTTTGCTTCGCCCCGCTCGGGGAAAATGGATGACCATCTCAGGCTCGAACTTACGACCAACCTCATTGAAGCTGCCAACTAGGATGCCACACGAGAGCACAGAAACAGGATGCCAACAGCCAAGACAACATGCAGGAAAAGAGGCTTTTGATGAGACAAATGTAGGCACCTTCGACGAAAAAAAAATTGCCAATGAAACGCCGCAGCGTCAGCGAAATGACCTGCCAATGCAACACACCAATTGCAACCAGAATGCAGTGGTGTACTTAAAATGCCCACGTCAAATAACAAGGTACCACCGGGCCCAAAACAAATTGGCCACAGGTGGTGCCACTTGACCTCTTGATGCATGCGTATGGAAGAGTGCAACCTGCAACTGTTATTAAATGCTAGTGTCCGTGTTGATTGCTGCGCACAGAAGGCGTCCAAGCTAGCCATCCAGTTTGAGCAAAGAAAATGGTTTAATACAGGGTACACACACAAAAAAAAAAGGAAAAAAAAAGTTGAACATACTTTAAATAGGGCAGTCAGTCTGAATGTAATGAAGGCTACAAACTGGACAAGAGCTTTGAGATTTAGTGGGTGCATACATTATTGAAAGCCATGGCACTAACAAATCGGTAAGAAAATTGGCCCAGTTCTGTTCAATTTGTACCAGCACCCTTCTGCACCTACAAGGAATAAAATTTTAAAAAAAACAACCTCACAGTTGCTTAGGTGCTTCAATGTCTATATTTTAAATATGAAAAAAAAACTATGATCACACTGTCAGAGTGCAGCTCAACACCAGCTTTAAAGAATCATAATCTGGCCTCGCACATCCACAACCTGCCTAAGACTCTTACAGAAGTCTGCTTCCGCACACACACAAAAGAAATGACATCACACCTAACACAAGGTTGAAAACCTAGATACAACCCAGATTGAAAAAAAAAAAAAAAGTTTATTGAACATCATTTGCCTTGTGTTTGTCCTCCCACTGCACGAGCCACACAACAGATGCCAGACACACTTGCAACAAAAAAAATGACGAAATAAAGAACCATCACAAAATAAGGACAATTTCGAAGGCACAACAGAATGTGGCAACACAATTAAAATCCATTTGGGAGAGCCAAAAGGCAGGTGGGACTCGTGGAGCTAGCAAGGACCCCGTGACACGAAACTCGGTCGGAGACCAAGGAGCAGGAAAGGCGCTAACAGATTGCCGCAGGACAAGAAAGCGTCTGGAGGCCCACCCAGTGGAGGACAAACGCCTTGGCCCTATGTCGATGTGGTGCTCCCCAGGGCGGCCACGCTGGGCGACGTCACAGGCGAGGTGGGCAGCACACTCAGCGCGTTGGACCCCACGGGGGCACCGCCTGCGCCCCCACACAGGCAGCCCCTTCAGCCACCGGCAAAAGCTTGGGAGCAGGCGGGGGACGGCCAAACAACACCCGCCAAAACCTTCCTTTGAGCTCGCCATCAGCTACGCTGGCCAGTACAAGCTCAACACCATTCTTTTAATACCAAATCCACATTCCACGATAACTATAGACAACCAGGAAAGGCCTCTGCTTAACAAAAATGAGTGCCCACGTGTCGCACGGCGAAGCCCCATTATCACTCGGCGTCAACTACATGACAGGTACTTGCACAGCCCGATTTTGAGAAACACTCTGCCCAGCCTAACACTACCCCAGATCATGAGCCTATGTCCCCTTTGGCCATCCATCCCCTCCCCCTAGTGGTAGAGCCCAGGAGACGGCCGACACAAGCTGCCCGAGACCTGAAACCAGGGATGCACAAACCCTCCCAGTTGCAGGGCTGCAGCTGCCCTCAGCTGGAGGCCGTTTGCAAGCAGTGACGCCCACACAAGAGAACAAAGGGCTTTATTAAAAAAAGAAAGCTTGTGCCAACGTCAATACCGTTTCTTACAGAAGGCTCCAGAACACAACATAAAACTCAGAAATGTTCCCATCATTCCATTTCCACGTTCATATGCATCACAAATGTAGGCTGAGACACTTCCCATGAGTCATTTTTAAATAAGTCTTTTTTTTATGTTTCACATGCCGCAAGTCACATTTGGTGGTCCTTAGGCACAACTTTGTACAAGATTCCAGTCAGACTGACAAAAGGCCAGATCATCTGTATTCCGTGGGCCAGAGGTTGTGCATACCTGTCATAAACAAAAAGGAACGAAAAAAAAAAAAAGGAAGGGGCGCAACACTCATGCTGATGCGGTCTCCGCAAGGGTTCACGCCGTCTCACCGGCAGACACAGGAGGAGGTGAGCCACTGTGACCTGTCCGGCGCTCCAAAAACTTTTGTTGTTGTTCCTTGGACACTGGGTCTGCAGGTAGAGAAAGATCAAGAAGCCTTCAATAAGGTAGACCAGTGTCTGCTCTGTTCCATGGGCGCCACCATGTTTGTTTATACTGACGCACAGTAAGGGGCTGCGCTTTTGGTTTCTTAGAGCACGTATCGTAGTGCAACAACGTCAGTATTGCAAAGCTCCAAGAACAACACTGATGCCAAGAGTGCTGTAAAAAGCAAACAATCTTGTTTTATGCGCAGCCCCTCTCTTCAGCCCGAGTTTGAGATTGTCATTTCCAATTTTCATCGCTGGGGGCTAGGATTTCGGACACTGGTCTATTCACTCATCATACCGAGGTAAAATAGCGCTAACACAAGGATAGGAAGAAGAATGTGGACAGGACAGAGCTTTTACTCGTACCTAGAAACTTTATTATAAGCAAGAAAGAAAAAAAAAAACACTCCACAGCTTCGCACGTGCATCCATCACCCTGGCCCCTGATGGCCTTTGCACGTGCAGCGGCCCCATTATCAACTATTTCCTTGCTCGACAATGTCACTGATGGTTCACTGATGCAGCCTGCCCCCCGATGTAGATGCAGTATGCCTTCAGTACCTCCCATATTTGTGAAGCATGGTTTTTGAAGCATGGGCCAATATTTAGGAGCCCTAGACCAGCCTAGACTACCATCTCTTGGGTCTATTTCCGACAGCTGGCCCGGCCCGACGACAATTTGCATGGGCCCGCTGAGGACAGCTCAATTTCCACCCACTATGAAATAGCTTACAAATTGCACGGCATGGCAGCTTGCTTGCCACTGCTACATATGTTGACTACGGTACCCAATAGTCAATATAGCAAGAATTCATTTTGCTTTTTATTGCTGTCATTATTAGTCTGACCAAACCACAAAACAACTCAATAAAAAAAATAAAATCACCTCCATCTTTTTGCGACCACACCCGCGTATCGAAAAGGACGGAAAAATAAAAATGGCAAGCAACAGTAAACAAATCTGTGTGCCAAAGTTGAAAAGGAAGGAAAACATTGTGACTGGTTCGGATAGAACACAGGCGAAATTCTAAATTGTCCACTCGCACTGGCACAACCTAAAAATTAATAGAAGGTATTAAACTACTTTGACGAAAGCAGAACCTCTTTACCCATATCGTGGATGCACACTTGTACGTACAGAAGGTTTACGCCTGTGAGGATGTGAATTTTCTGGGTGCGTATGTGTGCATGTTGATGGGTAGAAGCAACTGTACAACGGCGGTGTCGCCGACAATGAAAATGAATGCTGTGCCACTGGTGCTCTGGAAGAGTATTCAGTGCACACAGACCAAACCATACACACACACACACACACATGCTTTCAGCATTTAAATCTCCAAAAGCATTGCAGCAAAAAAAAAAATGTTCTAACAATGTATAAATAAAAAATTTGGAGTCAATAAATAGAACAGATTTTGTTGTGGACATGTTGAATTGAACATTGCCAGAAAAAAAAAAAGCTTATGCCGAGCCAACATGATTATGCACTGATGCTTTTATTTTTTTTTTCTATTTTTCCAATACAAGTTTTTAAACATGTATAACTGGACAAAAAATAAAAGATAAAAGCTTTCCCGTGATCCAAGTAATAATATTGTTGGCAAGGAGGCATTATTTCAGTGGAAAAAAGCTTGTAAATCCGAAAGGAAATATTGGTTTCTTTTTTTCTTTTTTCTCATAACCTGTTCGGTCAAAAGACGCCACAATTATCTTTTCATCATAATGTCCCATACTTTCATATTCAATCACCATAGCTAGCATCATATTCAAGCAAAGTGCAACGCATAGTCATAGTTTAGTTATCACGATGACAAAGGGATTTAAATTTTCCTGATTGAACTCTGCCTATGAAGTGCAAACTCCCGGAAAGCAATCTAAAACAGCAAAAAAACGATGACACATCAAGAAAAATTTCAATATCCATTATTCATAGTTTTTCGATAATATGGCTTTGAGATTTTCTATAATATGGATTTTAGTTTTTCGATAATATGGATTAGAGCTTTTTTTTTATAGTTTGTTGTCAATGGTATCTAGGGAGTATTTTCTACTGTTTTCCGATTATTCTCCAATAGGTTTGATTGTTCTTCAATAATTATGTGGAAGTTACTAATTGCACTTGCGTTTTTCTCCAAGCTTTACGACATTTCCTGGATGGACTCCATGACATTCTTCTTCATCTAAAAAAATAAGATCAATAGCTTTCTGATAGTTATCTACCGAGAGTTTAAAAATAGTCGGCTCTCGATGTATACTATCGATGACGAGTTGACCTGTACTTTGGAAAGGCTGTTCCTCTCTTGGATTGTTTGTGGGAAAAGTAAATTTAAAAGAGTCAGTACAACAAAGATTACTGTACAAGCTTCGTGTAGCTCTGACCAATCGTGGCGTTCAATACCTCGAAGCATGAATGTTCAAATTGCCATTCAGTAGAGTGTACTTTAGCCTCGCTACTGCACGGCGCCATGAGGATAGGAACTCTAGTTGGGCCTCCTCGTCTATAGGTCCACTCACTTCAAAGTCATACAGAGGGACACTGCTTTATCGTGTCTAGGCTGAGCACTCTGCCAGGCAGCTTTGGAAACCAAGCAGACAGGCTCTGAAAAGCAGGGTCAGACCTAACGTCCGATGTGGCATGCAGCCTGTTGAAGATCCATCATACAAAACACAGTAGAGAGACAAAAAGACCAGTGGCATCTGCAAACTTTTTGAATCCCAGTGGTTTTTTCCGCTTTCCAAAGATGTTGCCATGCCGACAACTATCGCGTTTATTTAGGCTTAGGAATGCCCAGAATCGAAACACTATCTAAAAAATGTGGCGATGTCATCGCCCATGCTTTGCGGTTTAAGTTAGGTAAAGCAAGGCGAAAGCCTCCTGCATTATTCGTTGCTGACTAACACGCCCGATATTGCAGCTACAACGACATACTAGTTCCAAAGCGAGCGGCGCTCACTCACTAGGGCACTGCCCCCCCCCCCCCCCCCCCATTGTTCCCCGCATCCCTACCGTGCCCAGTCACGTGATCTCAAAATCCCTCTCCTAGGTACTGCGGCTAACTTTAGCCGCGGTTAGCGCTTCGAGCAAACGGGACGGTGTGTGAAGGCTCTGTGAACACCTTTAGAGCTGCAATTGGAAATGCCTGCCCCAACAGTGCTTCACAACCATTGTGGGAAGGCACAAGGTCAACCCGGGAGGTACTCGAGGCATATATCGGGGTAGAGCACTGCACGGGCCGGAATTTCTAGGCCCGGCCCGACCCGACCCGACCCGGTAGAGACACAGCCCGGGCCCGGCCCGAGCCCGACAGAATTTTAAATTTCTAGGCCCGGCCCGACCCGGCCCGAAAGAGACACGGCCCGGGCCCGGCCCGAGCCCGACAGTATTGTTAATTTCAAGGCCCCGCCCGACCCGGCCCGATGGCTGTAGCCCGAAACAACCCATTTCCGTTTGAACCCGTCCTGTTTCGACCCGCTCCCGAAACGAGCTCCCCATTTGAACCCGTCCTGTTTCGACCCATTCTTTAAACACCCTTCCCATATGAACCCGTCCCGTTTCGACCAGTTCCCTAAACGCCCTTCTCGTTTGAATTTGTCCTGTTTCCACCCATTCCCTAAACGCCCTTCTTATTTGAACCAATTTCCGAAAAACCCTTTGCGTTTGAACGTGTCCCGTTTCAACCTACTTTTATAAGGCCCTGCACATCGCAACCTCTTCGCAAAAAGTCTCCATCGTTCTAAGCCTGGTCTGCGCACCTTTTCTGTTTAATATGTTCTGAAGTAGCTTTACATGTAAACGTGTTCTTAAAATATACAACCCTTTCAGGCAAGCTTAAGTTTAATATATTCCTAGTTAACCCCTTAAAACGTTTGTTTCAAGATGGTTCCCAAAACCTGCAAGCGCGGAACGCTTGCAGGTTTTGGGAACATCGCAACGCTATTTACATCGCAACGCTACTTTTACGGTACCCAAAGCGCTTGCGTACGTTTTTCTAAATCTTCCTAATAGTGAACTAGATATTTTTGAGAGCGATGAATCAGACAGGTTGACTAGCATATGACTGGGACTTTATTTTGTTTACAACTTATAACACAACCCTCGCTCACACGGAAAAAGCTTGAAGGCTTTCTAGCTTCAAGATGTCTTTTAGTTATTATTTTTAACGACGCTGTAGTGAATTTGCACCTCGCTTTTTTTGTATTCAATGACCCTAAAAGATTATTGAGCAAACTTCTTGCTATCAACAACAATTTATGATTTACGGCACAAAATTGGCCAGGCACGGCTCGGGCCGGCCCGGGCCGGCGCGGCCCGAGAACTTTTTTGTTCAAGCCCGAGCCCGGCCCGGGCCCGAGAAAATACGTGCTACCCGGCCCGAGCCCGGCCCGCGGGCCGGGCCGGGCTCGGGCTTTCGGGCTGGCCCGGGCCCGTGCAGTGCTCTATATCGGGGGGGCTTCAGAGAGCCATCAGTGACGTCGTCGAGCAAGGACTTCAAGTTGACAAAGGACATCGGGGGACAGGACGGGGCAGAGCTCCGTCATGCCGCATTCCTATTTGTGTCTAATCTCAGCAAGATCGATAAGCCTCTCTGGCCTAGAACACCTGCGATTTCCCGCCACCTGCTGCATACTGCTGAACCTCCACCCCTCACATCAAGTCGTTCTCCCTCAAGTTCCGTTCCCCAAGCCAACAACAGGTCATTGCACTTTCAATTTAGCATTGTGCTCTTCAGCAGGACCATAGCACACGTGTTAAGTCAGCGTGTTGTGGCTTAAATATTTCATTATTATTCCTTTTTTAAGAGAAAGTGCATGTAATGTCTTTCCCACACCTGGGAAGACATTTGACAGCAAAATGTCGCTGCCATTCTGAGGCTTCCGGAGGTTTCGAGCTGTTCCGTCGTCAACGTTAGTTTTGCGCTCCCCGTCCTAATCTCAACCTGTCCAAAATTACCCATGAGCAGCAGAGACTCACAGAAGTAAGGGTGCTCCATGGCTTCGCGGGCTGTGAGCCGGTCCTGGTGGTCGTAGCGCAGCAACTTGTCCAGAAAGTCAAGGGCCTCGGGCGTCACCAGGTGCTGGTTCTCGCTGTGTACGAAGCGCTCCCACCGCTTGCGCGAGTGCCTGGGTTTGTGTCACAAAGGCCATCCGGTCCCAAAACTGGCCCAGCAAGCTCCTTGCAAAAAGCATGGCTAACCAAAGAGACCGCCGCAGATGCGCGTCGCTTAGGAAGGCCAAGAGAGCTAAACAAGGGGACACAATACCTGCCGAGGATGTCGTTGAAGCGGGGGTCCAGCTCCGCCTGGTACTTCTCCAGGTACTCAAAAAGCTCCTCGGTGCCCAGCACCTTGGCAATGCGCACCAGCTGGTCGTAGTTGTCGTGGCCGTGGAAGAAGGGCTCCTTGCGGAAGATCATCGAGGCCAGCATGCAGCCCAGACTCCACATGTCGAGCGAGTAGTCGTACATCTGGTAATCCACCAGCAGCTCGGGCCCCTTGAAGTAGCGCGAGGCCACCCGCACATTGTACTCCTGGCCCGGGTGGTAGAACTCCGCCAGGCCCCAGTCAATGAGGCGCAGCCGGCGGCACTCATGGTCAATCATCACATTGTGCGGCTTTACGTCCCGGTGCATGATGCCCATCGAGTGCGAGTAGTCCAGCGCCTTGAGCAGCTCGTACAGGTAGTAGCGGATGTCGTAGTCGGTCAGCGTCTGGTACAGCTGCTGCAGAGGCAAAAACTGCATCTGCTACTAGGCAAAACGGGTACACCCGAGCAAATAACAGCCGCTTGCTTTCACCAAACATCAGCTCACATGGTCGGCAGAACAAGGACGCAAGGGGACAAGTGCTTTGTTCCAGAAAATCATTTGGGCTCAGTGGCCCTAATGCTTCAAAAGGTTCTTCCATCCAAATACTCGCGTTCAATGAAAACAACTTGCAGAAACTACCGCTTAGCCCAATGTTATGCAGTGCTGACGTGTTCAGTTTGTTGGAAGTGGACAACCCGCATCACGCTTTAAGCCGAAAAAAGAAAACAAACGACGGTTAAGCGTTGAGCTGGTTAATACATACTTGTAAATACATTAGCTTGAACTTTAGAATTAAACTAGAACACAAAGAAAGAAAGGACAGGATAGGACACATGGCGGTGACCAAGAAGGCGATGAGCAACGAGCAAGCGATGTGTAAGGGTGATATGGGCTTGGTTGCAGATTCCTCAACAGTCACAACGAGTGGAAGCACTGCATGTAAACATGACAGCTGGAGATAACTCGTCTTTTAGTGCAAAAATTTCCAAAATACTTTTAGACCAACCGCCAGTAGTGCTGTGGGAATATTTGAATTTTCTAAATGTAGTTTTGAATAATGCACTATTCAATAGTCGCTTATAGGTGAACAGCGATATTCATACTTTCCAAAGAGTTGATCACGGCATGTTAGCCCCGTTAAGACTGCTTCTCACTGCGCACCTGCGTGCTGCAGGGAAGCAATACCCGCAGAGCTCACGGACATCGCTTCTTTACAGTGCATAGGTGCTCTGTGAGAAGCGCACTCAACGACACTAACCCGCCGCGATTATGCCAGAGTACATGTTTAGCACTGCCTTGACAACATGTGCTCCTCATTCATGTTTTGTTCTTTTTTCTACTGAAGAAAGAATATTTGCACACAGCAAACAGATTTATGAATACCCTCACTTAGGATAAGTGCAACAATTTTGTCGTTTACATGCCACAGTTCATAAGTATAGCTAGATTAAAATTAACAATGTGGAAGTGGACAGGGGGAAGGGTGGGAACAACGTTCACGAGTTCTGCTGAAGTTTCTTTAAAGCATGGTGCACAGTAGGTCAAAGGTGGGAGAAACTATTAGATTTGAAATTATTTGGCCAAAACCACTGTTTTGAACTCAAAATCTGCTATTTGCACATAACAGTCTGTCAGTGCTTTTGCATTCACAGTCCATCCCTGGCTTGGCAGGCCTAGCAAATCAAGCAAGCCAAATCCAACAAAATTTATTGAGTTATATTAATAAAGCAAACTGTCCCTTCACACTGTGCATACTTCAGTTCATTTGCTGTGAAACGCTCGACATTCCCGGTGCAGAGAACAAGGTTTGGCGAAATTCTCGCGAGTTAATATATCACAGTTCTTGCGCGTCAAACTCGACGTGTAAATGAGCCGATTATGTAAAATTGAAAGAAATTCAACGAGTAAATAAACCTTTAGCGAATATTAGTTGCCAAAGCCTCCCCTACTCTTTCTTCCTTTACGACGCGGCGACAGCGCCTGCTCGACAAGAAATGCTATGTCCTACGAGTTCAGCAAACCCAAAAAGCAGCTGCACTTCATGGTTGCCCATTTCGTACACGGGGTCAAAGCAGTTGCAGAAAAGCTGCTGTCCTGTCCGAGCATGCTGTGCACCCTGAGCAGATCAGGTCAGCTTTAGTAAAGACGATAATGTGGCTAAGGTAAAAGAAACTGCCAGACTTGCGCAAGTATTTCCCTGTTGCTGAAATGTTGATGCCACGCAGCATGCATAGCCAATATTCTGGCTATGCATAAACAGCACGAGAACTTTGACCTTGTTAGTACTTATTTGAGCGGAGGGCAAAAGGCTTAAGCATATAACCCATCATACGCCACAAGAGCTCATAAATATGACAAGAACAAATGCAATTTATTTTACATCCTCATTGGTTGGAGCACCCGCTTACCGTCAAATACTGGGGGAGCACCCAGCCCACTTTCCCTGAAAACTGGTTTCATCTAGGCTTGGGCGCTTCTCCAGTCCAATCGGGCACTTGATATATAATTTGAAGAATTCCCAAGTTTGAAAAATATTAATAGTGGGCGCTTGAACGGACGGGGCGCTTCCGCGGTATTTTACGGTAGGCAGTTATTATTTTCTTTGCAGGCAGCCCTTTCTATCGTTGGGCAGCTGTGTGATGAGCGTCTCCCGAACTTCGTCAACATTCAAGCACAATATTTTTCGTGTCCGGGGTGAGCCCGAAGCCTTTCACCCAACCTTGTCTAGATCTCGACTCCCGCCTGAGAGGGCCGCAAGTTCCTTCCCGCGATGCCAATATCTAAGCGAAACCAATAAAACTATATGCAGAAAAAGCCCCAATGGCAAGCAGTTGTGCTGCAACGACTCCTACGACGCAGTGGCAGTCATGCTAACCATGAAAACAGAGATATGAGCCACGGACCCAAACTGAGGGGCACGTTCAGTATTGCCAAAAGGTGCGCGCACTTTGAGAAAGAGCCGAACGAGTCAACCCACCTTGAAATCCGTGTTGTTAACATGCTCGAAGATCAGTGCAGGGGTCCGAGACTAGGGAGGCAGAACAGAGAACGCTTAGACTCACTTCGGTCCACAGAGCAGTATCAAACAGCCAACGGCACACTCACCACAGGGTCCTTGACGACAGCTTGCAATGTGACAATGTTGGGCCCGCCGCGTAGATTTTCCAAAATCTTGATTTCTCGCTTGATTTTCTTCTTTTTGACAGGCTGCACGGCAGAGGGACAACATTGAGGCTAGGTAATGTGCACCAACCCTAGAGTCGAATCGAGAGCGGCTCACCTTTAAAATTTTAACTACACACTTTTCGTTATTGGTGACGTTGATGGCCTCAAAGACCTCGCTGTACTTGCCCCGGCCCAACTTGCGAGCCAGCTGGTAGTCATCCTGGACCCTGGAAAGCGAGCGGCAGGTAAGCTCACCCAGTCGACTCACCGAACCAATGCCCACGCACCCCCACTCGACGACGTGAGACTCGTAGTCCCAGTAGTCCCGCGGCCGGTGGGAGTTGACGTCCGGATAGACGCGCGACCTGCTGGGCAGAGGCATCTGCTGGCCCCTGCTTTCCGGCGGCTTTCCTCGCGTAGTCCCAAGGTGGCCACCAGCTCTGGCAGTTGTGCAAACCTGTGGGGGAAGACCAGAGAGCTCCTGCGAGGCGTCCACACTCCCACAAACTCCAAGCTCTTCAACCCAGGCTCCTCAGTTCAAGATCAGCCTTCCAGTCCAAGGACAGATTAACGATGCACTTCTCTTTACCACTGTGTAATGATGCTTAAATGTCAACACCGTGCTGTCCGAGCATTCGTTTGCTTTGCTAGGTCATAGGTTCTCAAACTTTGTTCCCAGAAACCCACAGACTGCTCAGAAGACCCTTCACCCCGAGCTCCCAAATTTCCTCGAGTGTTTATGCACAACTACGAGCCAAACAGTGTAAACCTCATTGTTTACAAGGTCTCTGGGCACTGCTTTATTGCATCATTGTCAAGACCAGACCTTAGCTTCCAGTCAGATCCTCCAGATCAAATAGTTTGAGAGCCCAAGGCCTACAGACGGCACTAGCGGAGTGCCCAAGGCTGCAGCAAAGCCTGTAATGCAAACCACACTTCCACAGAGTCCATGCACATGGTAGATCACTCGACTGTACCACATCAATGCAGCGTGTGGCCGACAACGCGGAGTCAGCGTTGCCTGCCACAGTCTTTCTTTCGTATTGTGACCATGCTTAAAAAAAAAAAAAAATTGTAAAAAAACATTTTACTCTCTCTAAACCCAAGGACGTAACATTACATAACGTTGTTCTCCAGCCTATACCCCCCCCTTGTGCAATGCCTGCAAGGGCCTTCAAGGTTCAATAAATGATGGTGATGATGAATGTGAAACCACCGGTTATCCTTATATTTTTGGACACGAGCTGAGTTGCCATTTCATGTGAGCTGCAAACTCTTTTGTAAGCTAGGGGCATTCCCATGCACCCTCACCTCAAGTAATCCCGTGGCATCATGCCCAGAGTGTAGAGCCTTAAAGGGGCACTAACAGTGGCGTAGCAACGCGGTGGTACCGTGTCCCAGTCTTGTGGGGGATAGCCAGCTCTGGCGTACCCCCCCCCCCCCCCCCCCACTTTACTGGTTGGTTGCATTAGGGGAGTGAAGGGGGGGGGGGGGGGGGTCTACGAAAGATGTAAGGAACCCCGGTGCCAAAAGGCCTAGCTACGCCACTGGATACTAAAACAAAATCTTATCACAGAGTTTTTGTCTCAATGCTGATATGTTGTGGCAACACCACACATACCAATTTTTTGTTTAAAAAGACATCAAAACTTCATTTAAAATAAGACAAACGATTACCAAATTGCATCTGGTGCACGTTCCCAAACCTACTTGGAATGTTATTCAATTGTGTCCTAAAAGCAGAGTCACTCAACGGAAGCAGCTCCAAGCACGCGTAGCCTGTTAAACTTGGTCGAACTGGATTTCCCTTCTCTCCCGTGCCTATTCAACTCCTGCGACCGAGGGATAGCAAGAAACTTCGATGGCTGCTCTTTCAGCACTTGCCAGAATTAAAGGGGTTATGACACGCCAAAAATAAGAAATGAAATAACTATACTGCTAGGACCCATTGTATGTTCCTATAATCCTGCTAAATTTGTTTTGAAAATGGCGCGATAGTTTAGTGGATAAATAGATTTATATGCGGGTTCCTCGGAGGGGCTGATCCGAGCAAAGCTGGAGGCTGGCTATATAGCCAGCCTCCAGCGTGATGTCTTGTTGCACGCACTCACACACTTGACCCTCCTGGCATCTCGAGCCTCAGCTTCCTCGTTTACCTTCCACGTCTCTAGCATGCAGTCCGTGACGATTAAGTCTACGGCATCGCTCACCTTGTCAAAGTGTTCGACATTGATCGCAGCAGCGATGAGTGATTGCTATCAAGAGACGGTGAGAGCTGTTCATTTGAACTGTGACCCGATGGCGACCAGCTCCAGCGACGACAAGTTACGGACAAACTCGCCGTGGTCATCATCGTCCGGTAATATCTCGCAGGTGCATGCAGGGTGGAAGGTCAACGGGCCGGGGGCAAGAGCGAGAATAGCTTTCGGGTTACCGAGTGGCAGGAGCGGTTTTGATTGTACCGCGGCGAGGAGAGCTTGGGCGATCATGGGGGAGCCTAGAATGAGAGAGCGTTCATGGTCACGTGGTTTATGGACACCATGGTGTGACTAACTTGGGCAGTGTTGCCTGGTCGCCAGATGAAAATAATAAAAATTTGTAAATTGAATATTGCAATTACCAAAGCCCTAAAAATCGCGTAACTTGGTGTATATACTAAGTAGCCTATGAGCATTCCATTTCAAGAATAATCTATCCATTTAATTTTCGTGTCATAACCCCTTTAATTGTTGGTACTCCGTTTAGACGCAGCCACCGCTACGAGCCGATAGGATTGATCAACAGCGTCAATCATGGCTCACATGCACATTCTATCACCGCTGAACCAATTACAAAGAGAAAAGACCTAGTGACTTTTGATGCTGCTTGATTGGTCCTATGAGCTCCTAGTGTCGGTAGTGTCTGAACTGAAGCTGAAACCAAGTATAGAACAAAAAGTACAGCCATCCGTTCAAAATACAAGCATGAGATTGTCATTATCAGATCTTGTTGGTCATGTTCAAAATATTTCTGGATGTAAGAAGTATATTTTAAGTTTCATTTTAGTATCCCTTTAACAATGCAGTAGCACTAACAAACAGCATTTTCTCGTCATCCTAACTCAGAAAGACAACATGCCTCTCAAAAATTACCTCCTTGAGGCAAAAAGTGCGCCTTTGACTAGAAAAATATCAAAGGTGGAAATGGAATGTATTCCCTTAATGCTTCTCATGTTTTCTTATCAAGTGTGTTGGAAAGCATGACAAATACAGTTGCCTTCTGCTAACAAAGTTTTACCACTTTCAACCTGCTTCAAGCTTTTGCACTTTAACCTTGAGCGACTGGTTTCTTCAGCCCCATTTAAGCAATGCACGAGGCATTTCTAACAAAATATAGTTTCCGAACGACTTTGTAAATGTCCAGAAATATTGTTCCAGTGAACATCTTACAATTACACAGCCTGCAAACTCTGGCTTACCACGTGGAGAGAATCAAAAGTTTCAAATACTTACTATGAAAGTTCATTTGGTTCCTACAAACAGAGGCATAAGAATTTGAGGGAAGCAGTTTCTGTTTAAACATTATTTTTCAGGATGTTTTAAAGCAAGGACTCAAACCGACAACAGTAATAGTTCAGTCAAGGTTACCCTTATGATATTGGTTCCACTCCGGTCTAGCGTCTCCCAAAAATCGGTTTACTGCCGAGACCGGTTATAACGAAATAGCGGCTACAGCGAAGCAATCACGATTTCCCATTTCATTTGTACTTTGTTATAACCATAGTTGGTTATAACGAAATAGCGGATAAGGCGCCGTTTCGCACGGGAGACAAGAGATGGCGCAACGAACGCCGCCAATGAACGAGCATACGGCATGCGTTCCGCAGACGGCGACAGTTGCAGAAACAAAAACAGGCGCGGTAACAACAAGGAACTGCAGTTCCTTATCTGCTAAAGACGCCATGCTCGTTTGTTGGCGAGAGTTGGCGTCGCGACCGCTTGCGCCATCTCTTGTCTCCTGTCCGAAACGGCGCCGTGTTGTTTGAAGACTGGTGGCTATGCTACGTTTCCATAGGAGCTAAGCCTTTTTCCTTCTTTACTTTTTCCTCAGGTAAGTCCGCTCTTTGCAAATTTTACAAAAAAAAATGCACCACCTCACAGATTAAGAAACCAAATTTTGAGGTCGATTTAAAGAGCCTGGCCTCTCCTTGAATCACCCTGTAGAACTACAAAAACATACACCATGAAACACAATATCAATATACCATGCAAATCACACGAAATGGTGCCAAAACTAAATTCTTCATTAATTTCATATTTCGCAAACCCTCGCTTAGTCAGAGATATTTCTACAAGTTCATAGGAATTATTTGCCCCCCCCCCCCCCCCCAGTGCATCCCTACAAACTATATTTGGCGTATGTTCTCTTCTGTGATGGGGCTTTGTGTGCGCCTTCTGGAGATTGAACATGAATTGGTTTCATTGTCCGAAATGTCCCACAGCTTTTCAACGTAGGAGGGCATTTACAAAGTTTCTATGAAAATCATTGACCAAATTCAGGTATTGGAACCAGAGTTAAAGGGCCCCTGAAAAGAAGAAAAAAGTTTTTCAAAAACAGTCTGGTTGAGACACGCGTGTCGAAAAATGAATTTTACGCGAAAAAAAAATTTTTTTAGAGCAATATTGACTGCGCCATACGCAATTTAGTCGGCAGTCACCTCCTTTCCACTTTTCTCTCTCTCGGCATCTCGGGCGCGTGGAGGAGAGGTAGTCCCCGCCTCTTCGTAGTGGATCGGCTTGGCTGCTTTCCTGGCTTGCCTGCGCCCCGCACGAGAGCCATTGCTACTTCCTGGCCGTGTTCCAAAATTGACTCGATCTTACCCCAGGGTGAGGGTTTTGTACTCTTGGCGTTCTAAAACCTACCCGCGTACAGCGTTTTTCAATCTGTGCTCTCACGTGATACGATCCGCCGGAGAAACTCGGATCCATTTGGAGATTTGGAATACAGCCCCTGGCCGGCTGTCTGCCGGTCGAACGACATACCGCGTCGTATCGTGCACGTACCGTGGTCGTACACACAGTACATAGTCGTCGCGGTGGACCCCGACCTGAAGCGTCGGTTGCTTCAACGCTGCCAGCAGCTGGGCCTTCGTCCGTACGAGGACACGCCTCGCCAGCCGGAAGGCGTCCGCTCCGATCGCCGCGAGGCACCCGCTTCGCCGCGGCGAAGCGGGTGCCTCGACGAGTTCGTTCGAGCCGCACGATCCTTCAAGCCGCCGCGAGGACACGCAGTGGTAACTGATTTTTTTTTTTTTTATTAAACGTTGAGTGCGGTGCCGCGTGCCTCACTAAACTCTTTACGGGAACCACGGGAACCGACATCTAAACAAACATTGGCACTGGCGCGCGCCAGAAAACAAACAAAAGATGAGGTAAACGGGACACACGAATCGCGCAAAGAAGAGCAGAAAAACAGAAACCTGTCACCCCGCGCCACTTCCCAAGTACTTACTATGACTGACTAACTAACACAAGCAACAAGCCCTCTTCAGAACGCGAAACGCGAAGACGGCGACCACGACAGAAAACAAAATGGCGAAGCTTTTGTTTGTTGTTTTGTTGTGGTATCCGAACGGAAGTTACGATTTTGTAAAACGTTTGTAAACAATTGCGACATTCATTGGATGGATTGTTTCTTAAACCTAAAAATATGTAATTCAAAAGGCGATTTAAAAAAATCACGAAGATTTTAAAACCAACATCTAAGCTGTCACTCATTCTATTAGCCAATGAGAAGCTGAGTTGAATGACCATCGCTACCAATGAGAAGCCGAGCTGAATGACCATGGAATTTGCGCGCAAAACTTCAAATAAATCTCTCGCCGTCAATATTGCTCTAAAAAATTTTTTTTTTCGCGTAAAATTCATTTTTTGACACGCGTGTTCCAACCAGACTGTTTAAAAAAAACTTTTTTTTTCTTTTCAGGGGCCCTTTAAGCGAGTACATGAAACATCATCCAGTGCTTTAAAATCGGGTACCGGCTGTATTTTGGTGCCCACATTTTACGGATCGGTCAGCTCTAGCCTTTAGCTATAACGAAACTTGGCACTGGGCGTTATAAAGAGAAAACGAATATAGAAATCTCGGAAACTACCTAGTACGTGCATTTATTACCATCATATGAATAATTTTGCGATTTAGATTACCAGTGTAATTCAAGCAGGGACTCAAACCAAAGAATATAATGTTTCGGTCACAGTTACCGTTTCCTGTTGATATCAGTTTTGTTTCGTTTTTTACCTTTTTTATGGTTTTTATGGTTTCAGTTATCGGTTACAAGTTCCTAAAAACCGGTTTATTTCGGTTTCTCCAATAATTTGCTTTAAATGCTGGACAGCCATTTTATAATAAACGGTTTAAAGTAGTTTTAGATATAAGACACTGGGACATTCACAATAACAAGAACTCAAAAACGTCTTATAACTTCTAATTGGTAAAAAGTTGCACACGTTTCTAGCTCCAACACTTGTTCACTACATCTATTTGCATTATATAGTATGATACCCCAAGCATACATGTTACCTCCCTACTCATGGATCCATCACATTTTATATAATAAAAATAAAAATAAACATCACTACTTTGTTGTTCGGCAGCATTTGTAAACAACCCTCAGAAAGTTCCCACTGGGTGTGGATGAGACATTCGACGAGTCAAAACATGCAAGTTCATTTACATAGCTATTGCGAAATGGCACTTCGAGATGGTGCCATCGGCAGTTGCACGACTCGAGCTAAACCAATACATGCAGCCGTGCAATTTCCGGAGTGGCCGCTGCGGGAGGAATGGCGACGTTGCGATCGCCTTTAGTTTGGTTCTCGAGCACGGATCGGAGTCACTTTTTCAAAGCAAGCTCAATGGCAGTTTCCCAACTGAGTTGCTAAAAATAAAATGTCTGACTTGATCATTTAGTCATCACCATCCAAACCAAAGCCAACTGAGCTAGCCCGTCACGCGTACACGTAACAGTCGAACCCTAATTGAACTTTCTCAAACTTTTCAATAAAAGTTCAAAAACGTTGAACCTGGTGGAACTCGAACCTCAACCGGTTTGCGACATCCCTAGTTGCATGTCAAGAACATCAGCGGTTTTGAAAGAACCGAGTTGGTTGGACATCACAAAATTCTAACTTATTAGTAATACACTGAAAGCGACAGGTACGGGATACATGTAGCAATTGTAGGAGTGTGTCAGAGACTTAATTATAGGCTCGACCACCGATTCCAAATAAATATTCTTAATCCAAAATTTAGACTGAATAGAAATGTATTACCAGATGCACCACTCGCTGACGGTAACTGTGTCAAATGGCCACGACATTTCAAGATCCGTCCTCGAGGTCATTCTTGAGAAAAACTAATATTTTCATTTTTTTATTAATATTGGGTAATATCGGTTTTCATAAACTTCAAATAATGGTTCCGGTTACTGAAAAAATTTTGTTCCTAAACGGGTTACGGTTACTGTTTGAGTCCCTGAATTCAAGGCTCCTTGCTATGTTCACCCTTAGTAGAGCACCAGCCCACATCTGCATTGTCTATGCTTTCTGTTTCCTCACCATTTCAATGTTGAACAAGCTAGTACACTGCACCACACTTTGCCATTGCCATTTCCACATCACAAATTAACAATGCTTTGTTTTGAAATGTAGAAAAGTTGTCCGCACTATCCCTACCCAAGCCCGTTTGGGCTCAGTCCCCAAAGCAGCCATCTAGTACGTGTCTGGACAGGCAGTTTATCGTCTTTCTACATTTAGTTGAAAATAAGATACTTTCAACCGCGTTGTTTGGTTACTATTGTATTAGCCTTTGCAAAAACCTGGCAAAAGAGGACTTTCTTAAAGGAACACTGAAACCCCCCAAAATTTATTTTTATTCTTTGCCAGGCAATTCAATTAAAAAAAATGCAACTGCACGAAACACAAACCGAAACTGGACTGGGGAGGAAGAAGAAACATAGAAGAGAGTTGGCAGAAATCATGCGTCTGTGCAACTTTTTTTTCCCCAATCATCGGGTTTGCAGCTTTTTAGGAGCCACAAAAAATGAGCATCATATTTTTTTCTATATTAATTTTTGTGTGTCTGCCTTTGATGACCTACGACTTTGATTATATTTGGTGGTTGTGTCTAAACCATAGAGAATGGCACGTGACCCCAGAGAAGAATGAGCGCGACTCAAAACAAGCAGTTCTCGATCAACGGTTTTCGGGCAGAAAGAAAACTAATTTTGAGCCGCAAATTCTGTTCTGGGAAGTTTGGCTCTCATATGGCATGTACAAATAAAAATCTTGGCGAGTGCAAATACCCTGTCAGTGTCCCTTCAAACATGATATTTACAGTGTGACACTTGGATGTTGCCATTATTATTTACATCGTTATTTTTCCAAACTACTTGACGTGGCAGCAGATGGCGGTAAAAGCTATTGTCTTTAATATTTTGAAATTTGGTGCTTTAAAGCTAAGGCAATACCCTCAGAAAAACCTAGCTTTTATTACATTCATAATCAAAACTTGTGAAATAAAAAGGCCATAACATGCAGGCTGAAATATTGTCATCTGTGCATGACCAACTGTTTGGTATGTAGACCGACAACACTGGAGCATTTGTACAGTAGAACTGAGCAGTGCGCCAAGCAAGCCGTCGAAGGAGGGGACCGGGGTGGTGGGTGGTACCGCCATGCAAGGTGCAGGGAATGCCAGCCAGAGCCAGCAATGGGCAAACACAGCTCAGTTCTAGTCTACCACAGCCCAAGTGCACCAGTTGCATACAAACTTCCTAGAATCACAGTATGTGTAGGAGGTTACTATATGCAGTTGAGTCATGTGTCTTAAAGAAAAAAGGTGGCAGCTTGGCGACTTCGTGGCCTTCCCTCCACAGCTGCAGCTTTGTCGGCTTCACAGCCCAGGTATTCATGAAACTGATCCATGTGCCAATTTTGCACTGCTAGCAAATAAATCTAGAAAGTGGTAAACCACCCTTTTTGCAGCGGTTCCCACATAAGTACCAAAACAAACATATGCACCATATGTTGTGGCTTTATGTCATAAACATTGCAACTGCTTGACTTTTAAACAAACTAATGCCACATAAGCAGAGTGGAGTTGTCAAAGTCTCATGCAGCAAACATATCAATAAGGTCAGCACAATGAAGCAGCTAGAAATCATATTTCAGCAGTGCCGACCAACCAATTGTACAGCAGAAAACATTTCTCCACCTAGGAAACCCTGTGCGAGACACAGGGTTACCTGCATGGCAATACAAAACCTGGGCAGATAGATATTTGGCTACTCTTGATTTGGGTTATCAACAGTATAGTTACATTCAGGATAATTTCTATGATGCAGTCAGGGTTTCCCCAGACACTATTTACTGAGAACCAAAATCCCTTTTAAAAAGACATCTTCTAAGTGGTGCCTCAAAAGTATTCGGTCAGACACAAAAAACTAATAAAGCAGAACTACAATTTTAAGACAGACAAGTTTTGCGGCTTAAACATAAGAAATAACTTGACCCCAAGCCTGCAGGTTAACAAAGGATGACTCACACACTTTTAGTCTCATTTTGCTTTCCTGCAGTCTCGGGGCTGTGTTACATCTAACCTTCACCAGCTCGTTCGTGCCCCAACTTTCTAACATTCAAGTGTGGAGGTTTTCCGAGGCAAATTCGAGGGTTTTGGCCAAGTCCTTGCAAGGAGTCGCATTTAGGGGTTCCCACTGACTTCCGTGATGCTTAAGGCCACTCAATTCTCCCTTGAAACGTTCAGGTCGAGTTGTTTGGGCAGTGCTGTTGAGGGTTTCACAACTCTCAGCAACACTGCTCCACAAGTATAGACAAATAGTGTTTTTTTTTTTTTCATTTTAGTGAACACGGGCATGCACATACAAGACAGAAAAAATCCAAGAAGATTGCATACCAATTTGGTCAAATGGTGTGTTAGTTGAGGCCTTGGGGCAAACGTTCCTGCAGGAACACAAAAGGGTGAGTGGGCTTCCAGCAAACACATGGAAACACGAGAAGGTAAGGAAACGACGTTTGCTATAGGGGCGGCAGGTTAAGTTCACAAAGATCGCTTGTTAGTAGACTACAGGACTATTCTTGCTCTGGGTAATGCAGCTCAAGTCCTGTGCAAGCACTGCTAAGCAAAATCGTTCGTCGACTGGAACGAATAATCAAAAAAGGCAGCTCATACGCGAGCCAATTGATTATGAGTGAAAAATTAGCATTTACCACTTCCCGCTGGCTAGCAACGCTAATGAAATCTGACCCCAGACACCCGAAAGAAAAAAAAAAAGTCCTTCGGCACAGGCATTTGGACTCATTACACCTTCCCAATGCGCGATACTGGGCTTTGTAGGCCTACTACGGGCAGGTTAAATTGACGGGCCATACTCGGACACTAAAAAGAGTACTCGATCAAGTCACGAATTCCACACCCACCACCCAGCCGCCAAAAAGTTCGAGGCAGCGATATTTAACGTCGACTCCCAAAAAAAGCATTTAAAAAAAATATATTCGTTTCCTTCTGTTTGTGTAAGGCGTGATCGAGACATAACAACCAGGCCTTTACACAAGAACTATGCACAGAATGCGATGAGATTACAACTTAGCTCGAAAAGGTTAACCACGTTGAATGAATCGGCAATGATGAAGGCTTAGAAACGGGCAGAAAAGTCCATGTTAACTTACGGGTATTAGGGCTAGCTGGCTGGCTCTACGAGTGTCTCGTCGGCTCGATGTATCTTGTACGACGAAAAAAGCTAATTCAGCGCATAAATACACACTTAGGGACACTGCGACGGCCACAGGCACACGAAACATTCGCCGGAAGTTACTAGGACAAGATAAAGACGGCGCCCAAGTGATCGGAAAGATGTCACACGGGGCACCGGCTTTGGTATGGCATCGGCGCCGGAGAGCTAAATAGCGATTTCTGAAACAGCGTCTTACGAAAGCTTGGTCGATCAAGCTAGAACATGAACGTTAACACATACCGTCCAGCGAGCTACGACCTGGCGTACACCTACATAGAGTTTACAGAGAGTTACACTACAGAAAGCGCCGATGAGTAGGATTAGAAACTGCACAACATTGCAATATGGCGGACAGCCCGCCGAGATCAAATCGAGGCCAGAGCAGCGGCGCTGGCCAGAGCCACCAGAGCGGCCAGAGAGCTCCCACAAAAGCCGCAGCAGGGGAACGAAGCTCTCGGCTACTTCCGTCCGGCCGCGTACCTTTATGACGTACATCCGCTCCGAACAACTGCCTCCGATTACCGCGCTCCCAGCAGGCGTAGACAGACGTTATTTTGATTTAAACACTGTGGCCTTAAACGAATATGATTCCTATCATTTATAAGATTGCATAAATGTGAAGTTTTCTGAGGGTATGAAGAGCTTTGGCGGTCGTTATCGTAGGTATTCCAAGGGAACGAAGCATACAGTATGGAACGAAGCTGGAGGAGCGGCCTCGCGTTGGTAGACGGCCGCGTGGCGGCGCTTGCGCATGCAACACCGCGGTCGCCCCGGCGGATTTGTAGCAGCCGACGCTACAGTCCTCGCTCTGTGTCCTTTTCAACTGCAGATGACGTCGTTCTCTTAATCGCCTGAGATTAGGTGTGGAACACATGTTTCTATCTGATAGTGGTGCTACCTAAGCACTCATGCGGACGGTAGACCAGATGATGCTTGAGTCCCTTGGCGGACGCGTGACAGATGGTTTCGCATATTCGGGCGTGTCAAGAGACTCGTTCTGTGCCGATTACCCTCTCTGTGTGACAACTAATATGCCACCTGTATTGTTTTCATATAGCCTCCATATTACACTTTTGTACAGTAATTGCGGTGTATTCGTGTAACTAGTTTGTCAACTGGCTCCGCAAACAGCCTGTGTTGTCTCTTGCACCGTACCGCGACAAAAGGAAATGTGATGGAGAATCTCAGAAATTGCACGTTCTTATTATGCGAATTTTACTTATTAAGGTTATACGTGTTAAAAACGTACGCATAATTGTTGCTAATTACTGTGATAAGACGATAAAACAAACTAAAGATACGCAAAGACGCCTAACATCACCAGATGAAATGATAAAATTACTATCCATATTGTGCGGTACGTACAGAGGCTTAACTGCTAGTTTTAACTAAGATAAAATGAAGAAAGTATTTAGGTAAAATAAAGTAATTCAATAAAGTTAAGAGACACGTGCTTAGCAGTTTTGACTGAAAAAAAAAACAAACAATAATTTATGCGAGGAAAGGAGTTACTTGAAACACAGCAAAGGGGCTCTGTGAGCATTTTGTGTAGTAGAGGGTAACAACGAACAAAAGTTTTAGTTTAATATGTCGATAACCGAAACCCGAATCGAAACCGAAAACAGTTACCTGGTAGCCGATATATTATAGCGGTTCGACAATAAAAACATTTTGGCAAATATTTTCGATAGCAAATCCCTCAACGTGAGTTTCTGCCACACTTTCATTATTCTGTTGAAATACAGAACCTGTGGACGAACTGCAGTTCGAGACTGCGGGCATGTCTTGCAAAAATAAATCAAAATAAAAAAAATAAAAAAAAAGCTGATCGATTGATTGTTTGACATCTAATTTTAGGTTATATGTTATTTATTGTTCTATCAATACTGTTTTTGTTTTTTTTTCTCTCTAGCAATCTGCTATCCGAGAGGCTCAAGAAGTGCTGGGTCCGACCCCTCAAGGAGATGAAAGCGAGGAACAGAAATAACTCTCGTGCAGTGGATGTAAATGAAGTTATTCTTTTTGCATGAAAAAACAACGCTAGAAAACTGTGAAGGGAAATAAATTTTATCACATGTCTTAAAATAATCATCTACCGTTGCGCATAAAGCCAGTGATAAACCTTCCACATTTACATTTTTTTATAAACTTTTTCATGAACTTTAAAGAACTATTCTGTTTGTTTGTTTGTTTGTTTGTTTGTTTGTTTGTTTTTTTGCGTTAGTTTCTGCACGGGTATTTTGACCCAAAAAATGGAGCGAGCAAGCCCAATGGCACAACCGCGCAAAGCATCAGAGACTGGGATAAAGTATTTTGAATGTATCATTTTCTCTCACCCATCTTCAAACAATTACTCACTCAGTGTTTCAAGTGACGAAGAAAACATAGAGTAGAGATATCTTCGCTTGTGTGGGTGACCAAATTATAAAATACTGTTTTGCGTAGCATGCGCCATCTCAATCAAACTGATTTTGAATCGTCCGCGAAAATAAAATAATCCGATATCCGTCGCGCGAGCGAGCACGGACATAGCAAAAGTAGCAGCTATCACCCAGCCATTCCCAACTTCGCTGTGTAGCAACTGCTGTCGAGCGAAAATAATATAAAGCAACTAACAACTTAGTAAAACATATAAAATATAGCGCAACAGAAACAAGGACAAGAAGTAAACAGGACAGGCGCTAACTTTCAACTAGTTTTATTCTGGAAAATCGAACACATATATACACACGACAGGTAAAGCAGCACCACGTAAAAGTTTATTAATTTTTCACCCGATCATTCAAAAACTGAAATTCATTACAATGAAGAATTGTAATTGTAATTCATTGTAATGAATTTCAGTTTTTGAATGATCGGGTGAAAAATTAATAAACTTTTACGTGGTGCTGCTTTGCCTGTCGTGTGTATATATGTGTTCAATTTTCCTGAACAAAACCAGTTGAAAGTTAGCGCCTGTCCTGTATACTCCTTGTCCTTGTCTTTCTGTTGCGCTATTTTATATGTTTTACTAAGATGAACCAACTAGCCCAACAACGTACCTTACTAAACTAACAACTGCACTACACGAAATCCCGACTCTAACGACCTCCTAAAAACGCGCGTTTCAAATTTCGTTTTTTTTGTTTAGCTCCGTCATTGCCTGCTTATTGGACCAAAATTATATAATTTATCAATGTATTTGTTCCTTTCTTATCTGAAGCGCTGTTATTGCGTCTTAAAGCAACCAGCAACGAGCTCCTGGCACTCCTCGGCTGCTCGCGGAGTCGGGGACGTGGGCGGTGACAAGGAGCGGAGTGCCACCTACATCGTGACGTCACCCTCTTCCAAGCGCCGGTCACTCGCCCAATGCCCGGCGGAGGCTACGCGGTCGCTACACTAGTTTAGTCAATGGGAAGAGCGGGCCGTGCCAAGGCTATGCCACCATGCCATGGCGAGAACCAGAGGCAGATAGAGGGCTTGGCATGCCCTTTTGACCAACCAGAATCCGAAAAGAATCCCCTAGAGGGAGTAGCTAGAATAAGGGCTAAACGTAGTTACTCTTCATCGCTGAAAATATGGTGCACGTGATGTTTCGATTATGGTCATGCAAAAAGATATAGGAAACGAATCTGCCGCTCGAACTCTGTTTTGCACGGACAGAGTGTGACCGCTCGGACGCCCGGCCCTTGGCGCTTGGCGTAGGGAATATGTCGATCGTTCGGCTAGTCGCGCCCTTCCGCCACGATTTTGGATGACCGTGATGGAAACATAACGTGTATTATATTTTCAGTTACCGAGCGTTACTCCGGCGCACTTATTAATTTTGATTCTCGCGACCACCGCCAGGGAATTATTTCCGGCTTCTGGAGTGATAAACTGGCGGCTGAAAGTGACCCCCACCCGGCCGCCGCCATGGTGCATATTTTTGACCACCACTAATAATAATAATAATAATAATAATAATAATAATAATAATAATAATAATAATAATAATAATAATAATAATAATAATAATAATAATTTTTATTCGCACGAGAAAGTTTGCCCACTCAGCGGCGTCCAAGGCTAGACAGAAATAGAAAGGTTATGTGCGCCTGCTAGCCCGCCGCTGAGTAGGTGTAAACATAAACAAACAGTAATTGTAAGTACAAGATAAGAATAACACATATACACGTATGGAGACAACGAATAGTCATAACCCAGACTGTTGCTGCGCTCCCGTCTTTGACAAGTGTGAAGTGATTAGGAAAAATAAAGACAAAACTCACTCGGGAAATCATTGAGGCGCGGGAAATTGGAAGATTGGGGCAAAACTGTGGTCAGCACTCCGTCACTATCTTTATCAGATAAGGAACGTTCCTATTTAGACACACAGTGACAGTGCGTAGCGATGGCTAGTGAGCACGTGGCATCCAGGTCACGCTTTTTATTCATGTTTGTTTGTTGTGACAATACAGAATTTATACTCGCTGTTAGAACGAATAAACTTCAGTTGTAAGTCAGCGCCTTGTTTGTCTACCTTCTTGTTCTTGTCCGTGTCCTTGCGCTGTTTTAATGTTTAAACGCTGTGTGTGGTGCACCCCGCGCAGCCGAGCCCGCAACCGCGGCCCCCGCCACGCCCCGCCCGAGGGTGACACGGAGCACGCGCGAAGACCCTTGAGCGAACCCCTTACGGGCCATCAACCTGTGAACAGATGCTGGCCGTATCTTCTGCATAGCTCATGGGAGTCCTCCCTGCCCCGCGGAAGAGGCTTGCGCTCCCTGAGCGGAACAGAGGGAAGCTCACCTAAGCCTGCAGGGGTCGCGGGCAGGCCATGCTTTACAGTCCTGGCATGCAGTGGCTGACCCAGTCAGTGAGCCGTCCAGAGCGCGGCAAACCAGGCGCACGCGGGCCATTCTCCGACGTTGTTCAAGTGGCCGCCACCCCGCAAGTTTATACTGCGAGTCACTAGTTGCGTGCAGTACAGGCGAAGGCAGCGCCGAGCGAGGGGAGAAGGACGAGCGCTAGAAATGCGGGACGGGAGAGGAGGGCAATGGAGGGCGAGGGGAAAAAAAGTGAAAGCCGTTTACAACTTCCTGTAACGCCGAATTGGAGCGCAGCTCTTGAGGAGGAGGAGTGGAGGGTATATTCCTCCTCCTCCCTCGTGATCATGCCTGCTAGTCCTCCTCCCCTCCTGCTCCCCCTCCCTCTCCTTTACCACCTCCTCGTCCTTCAAGCTCCTCCCCTCCCCTCGCCTCCGCCTCCTCGTCTCTCCCCCCCCCTCCTCCACCTTCGTACTGCTTTCCTCCTTGCCGCTCAAGCCGGACAATGAGGGGAGGAGGAGGAGAAGGAAGGGGAGGAGGAGGAGGGGGAGGAGGAGGAGGGGGGGAGGAGGAGAAGGGGGAGGAGGAGGAGGGGAGGAGGAGGGGGAGAAGGAGAGGGAGGAGGAGGAAAGGGAGGGGCGCGGTTACGCCGAC